GTGAGCCGAGGAAGGGTGGGGAAAGGCAGGAAGGTTTCGGAGAATGTGGAGGTGACAAAGCTAGAGTCAAGGAATTTTTAAACCAAAAAAAAAAGTAATAATTAGGAAGAAGAGAGTGGAAAGCTGGCTGTATCTCCTCCAATCCACACCCCATCTCCTTGTCTGTGTTTGCCAGTCAGCTGTGGCCTTAGCCTGCCAAGGTTGTTCTTGGTCTCCGGTGGCCCGTCCACTTGCCCCACCAATTGAATCATTTTATTTCTCCTGAGCGGTCACAGACCTGTAACTGCATATTGGCTCATCTTACCAGGCACATCCAGGTGAACCCAGGAAAAGGGAAGACAGGAAGAGAGGGAGAAGGGAGGCTTGTTTACTCTAAATATTGCCTGTTTTATGTTATTATATAGTTAATATCAGTGGTAAAAATTAATACTTTGTATTCAAATCATGCTTGGTGTTTCCAAAAGCAGTTTTATATATATAATGTACTTGTTAAAAGTCAGAACATAAAAGAAAATATTCTGGTCAGGTTACCCAGGACAACTTAATTCTTCCCACAGATCATACAAATTATGTTACGAGTCAAGGCTGGATGTGTGTGGTCCTGGCTGTGGTTCTGATCCCTCTCAGACAGAGCAGAGGCTGGTGCAGTCAGCAGGGGACCCGAGGCTCTGGGGCTGCCCCAGCACCCACAGTCAGAGGAGGAGTCAGAGCCCCGCCTTCAAGCTGCAAGCACTCCTGCCGAGAGAACATCCGGGCTCCAGCACACGTGGCAGACAAGGGGGCACTCATTTCCTGGGCCGCTCACCCTGAGTCAGGGTGCCTAATGCCTACGGGTACATCTGTCAGCACCGTAAATGTGGGGGGCAGGCAGAGTCTAGTGTCCAGGAGTATGGACACTTTATCAGTGAGTCCATTGATGAGTGCTCTGTTTATATTTCAACAGTTTCTTTTAAAAAATTACTTTGAGGTGTATTTTCTGTATCATAAAATTCACCCATTTCAAGTATACAAGTCTGTGATTACTAGTAACTTTATAAAGTGGTCCCGTCATCACCATAAAGCAGTTTGAGGGTGTTTTCTTCCCCCCAATAAGGTCTGATTGCCATCCCCAGCCCCAGGTGACCACTAATCTACTTTGTCTCTTCTGTAATAATTTAGTTAATTATGTTCTGATTAGAGAAGTAATAATTTCTTATTTTAGATCATATGAATAACTCCAGAAAGAAAAATCGCCTGGAATGAAGGCCAGAACCCCCTTGTCTGACCCAGCGTCCAGCTTCCCTTGATGGCCCCGTCTTCCCAGCCCCTCTGCTCTCTCGCCCAACACACTGGTACCCATGTGCCTCTGTCCACATCTCCACATGGTTCCTTTTGCCTGAGACACCCTCCTCCCCATCTTGTAAGGCAGGTCTCTCTACCTTTTGAATGTGCATCTCACATAACCCCTGATGAACAAAGAATTCCCAGTGTCCAGACTGAAAGCAATTTGCTCTTCTCAGAAATTCCATGGTGTTTTATTTAGGGCTTTTAGAGTTCATGTGGCAGTTTATTTACTCAAATGTGGGCTATATATCCCCTATTAAACAGAGAATTCCTGAGGACTGGGGTTCTGTCTAATTGGTCCTTGTCTCCCTCCGCTGTGTGTCTTCCGCTCCACTTCCTGTCACTCCCTAAGGCCCCCTGAGCCTCCTTTTTTGTGCTCATCACCATTGTAACTGCTGCTTAATGTCATGTTCACTGCTGGGCTGTGGGCCTTGTCCCTGGTATCAAACAAAAGGAAGCTGGCCAAGTGTGCTTGGGCGTCCATAAGTCGCCACTTCTCCACTTCAGTACTTCACTCTGGCTACCAAAGCTTAGTTTACCTTTTCTGACCCCAGTACCTGTCATGAGTGCCTAAGTTCTAATTTGAATTAAATAACAAATAGTTTAAAAATAGATACAGTAACCAAATTCTGACTAGAGTTCTTTTCCCCTACTTTTCCCGTATGACTGTGCATGCACTCTTACTTACATACACCTTGCATAAAAAGTGTACTAGACTTCTCCCTGAAACACAGTTTAAACTGCAAGCACCTTGTTCTTTTTCCTCCCTGCCCGCCATGTGACTAAGCTGCTCTGATGCCTGTGGCTCAGCCTGCCACCCTGAGCAGCTCACCTCCCCCACCTTGGGCTACTTCTGCTTCCTCTTTCCTGCCGTGCCTTGTCCAAGGTAGTGCCATTGGCTCCTCTCCTGGCAATGCTCAGGACCTAACTGCCTGTGTCTCTGACTTTAGCTGTGGCTGTGTGATCATGTGCAGGAACTGGCAGTGGTCTCAGGACTCAGTAACTGGGACAGTCCCCTTCCTCCCAAGCCCAGGTCAGCCTGCCTGACGCCTCAAGGCCAAAGTGTCTCTCCACAAGGAGCCACTGGTACTTATATAGAGTAAAATGTGCTGCATGTGGTTTAAAAATTTTTTTCGTTTAATTCTTGGTGTATATATATTTATTCTTCTCTGAGATGGCATGCATCATGTTTTGATTTTCATTGTAGCCAGCTTGTTGCTATCTACAAAATAGGTACTTGGTAAATAAATGATGAATGAATTACTGAATCCACACTTGCATTGGCTATATATGTTTGGTTTCAATGTATTAATGTATATCTAGATTCTGTTTCTCATGTATTAGATGCTCATAAAATACTTAAGTATGCTGATTTATTGGGCCAATGCTTATTGAGTGTTTGTTCTGGGTGAGGTTCTCTGCTGGGTGCTATGGAGAATGTAAAAATGAATACACTTGAAGCCACCCTTTAGATTTATGGTGTGAGATTGATAAGTGAATGCAGAGTAGAACCTCAAGGGCCTTGGGAAATTTTTAAAAAAGGAAATATTCTAGGATTTGGGGAGGGAGGGGTTACTTCCTGCTGGGAGGTAGAGGGGTTGATGGAGAAGATGCATCTGCCTCAGTCTTGATGGATGGGACGGCGCTGGACTGGGGAAGGCACTTCAGGACACATTGAGTACAAGCAGAGAACCAGACAAGCAGAGAATGGCAAAGACTTCCATTTGGTTGGATGTGAAGGTGAAAAGTGGCAAATGAGGTTGGATTGTGGAGGGTCTCAAATGCAGGAGTAAGTTTAGTTCTTTATTAGGGACATGATGCCAAATAAATCTCATGGGGACTGCAAAGGACGGGTTAGGCAGGCAGAGACTGGGTTGGAGGCTGGCTTCAGAGGAAGCAGCTGCCTCAGTCCAGAAAGGAGCAGAGAGGCCAGCTGCGGGACTGGGCAGCGAGGAGGGCCAGGGGCAATTTGTAGATGAGCAGCTACAGAAGCAATACGGAAAGGAGGAGAGATGTCTCCTAGGAGCGGAGCCAGCGGGGAGGGCAGTAAGGGGCTGTGTCACAGGAGTAAAGAGCCCCGAGGAAGCAGGGTAGCTGTGGGGTGGCTTGGGCACACATAGCTGCCAGCAGGTGTCCTGGCAGGTGGGTGGAAAGGGGGCAGCCCTGCCCAACTCACTTGTGTTCATCCCTACCTGAGTTTACCATGGAAACCCAGGTGTGCTCACTGTCATACTCTCATCAGCACAGCTTGTTTGTCACCATTACTTCCCACAGGACCTTGCCCTGACCTCAGCTTTTCAGTGTTAAAAATTTGACTCTTCAGGCTGGTCCTAGCCAGTCATAGCTGATTACCTTGTACCTTGGAGGACTGCCAGGTGTGTGACAAATGTTAAGTGGTGTAAGTCTAGGACAGAAGTTACCCAAAAAAAGCATTTCTGAAATGACAGTCGTTAACTGATCACTTATTTGGCAGGATAGGTGGTGCAGACATTACTACACAGCTTACCAATATTTTTCCAGTTAATTTCTTTCCCCATCTTGAAATTCAACATACTGGATAGTGTATAGAAATCAGGTGTCATATTGCCTTAAAAATTTTGCCTATAGTTGGTCTTCTATTCAAGGTAATTTTATTCAACTAAAATTTTCCTTTGCCCAGCTATGAGAATGAACGCATAAGGTTCCAAAGTCTTTCCTCTCGTCTTTCTCCTTTTCCAGGCCTGTAATCTCAGTGTGTGTGAACCAAAGTGACACATGCCACAAGGCCCCAGCGGTGCCAGCTGGCAGTTGTGTTGTAAGGGAGTGTTCTGAGCCTGCACAGAAGAGAAAGTAGTTCTTCAGCTTATTTTCTTGTTGGAGAGTGACTCCTGGAGCATTCCCAGCACGGGGAGCCTGTGCCTGAAGCTCCTCCTGCCTGAAGCTTTGTGTCTTAGTTTGCTCCTGTGAGCCGCTGGCAGGGACGGCTTGCTCTCTGCGAGTGTGCTGTGTGTCAGGAGGGCCTGATTCCACTCAGTGTAGTCCATGGTGACAACTTGCCAAGCCACCGTCTCCTGCCTTTTGCTTCAGGAAGAAGAACCAGGACCTCAAGACTGCTTGTCCCTCCTTTTCTAATTTGTCTGCTGTCACCAGCAGCATGCACACACACTGGCCTTTTTTCTCCTTCTCTCTCAACCTTCACTCATATACGTTCATAGGAGACAGAAGCCCCCACTGCTCTGTTTTTCCTTGGTTTCCTGTTGGGGGTTGTGAGAGGGAGACAAGAGTCTGTGGATCCCAGGAACTGAGCAAAAGCCCAGCCCCAAGGCATCCTGATGGAATCTTGAATGAGAGCAGGAAGTGGGTGTTCGCACTTCTATTTCAGGGCCTTTAAAGTGATCCTGTCATTGATTATTTTGAAATATTTTTTTCTTCATTGTAATGATTATCTTTCCACAAACTTCATAGTTTAATAATAGGTTATTACTATGGAAAACAGATGTAGACTTCATTAGTTCTATATTCATTTGCAAGGTGAAAATGCTACAAAGAATGTAAGAATGAATAAGGCAGTCATACTTAATACTGGTCAGGTTTTAAATGAAGCTTAATTATTACCAAGTGTTCTGTAATATCCTTGCTGCCCTGATTTGAGATTAAAAAGGAAATTGAGTAAGAGTGGTTTTGTTTTTGTTTTTTAGATTCAGAATATGAACAACATCATCTCCTTCCCTCTGGACAGCCTGCTGAAGGGTGACCTGAAAGGGGTGAAAGGGGTATGGCCCAGAAACCTTTCAGCTACGTGTGCGTTCTCACTGGGCTGGCAGGACGGGCTGCTGGCTGCCTCGATTTCCCTGGATTTGCCGTCTTGGCACCACCTGTCATCCATAGGCATGGTGACACGCGGCCTTTCTGGGTGTCCTGCGGTGCTCTTGATGTGTAAGGGGGGAGGACCTGAAGGGAAATAAGTAGCTCTTTTGGAAACCATGCCATTTTGGGGCTCTGTCTGTTGAGTAGGGCAGCCTGTGCAAAGTCTGGTTTTCCAGCTGGGGTCTTTCTGACCAGAGAAAAGGTCCCTTGCAAGGACAGTATCTCCTGATGGGAAGGGCTACACCAGTTAGGCTTGAGCTGACTTTATTTTTGTGTCCTCCAAAGGATGTTTATTGTTAGGAAGTGCCTTGCTGAGTATACACACTTAAGCTGTCAATTGTTTCACGAGGATGTGAGCAGGAACAGTCAGGGTTCAAGTGGCATTTGGACACCAGATGCTGAGCAGTAGTTGTTTTTGCGTGTCATCAGCACAAACAGATGTGCAGTATGGGAGGGAGATGATGTAGCCCGAGTTCTTAGGAGACCGTGTTCTTAGAAGATCGCGGTCTCCTAAGAACTGTGATTGGATTTGCACATGTCCTGGTCCCATTTGGAAGCCCAGGCTGGCCACTGCAGGCACTTCTCAGTCTCTCCTTCACAGAGTGAGCCCCGAGAGGTGCTGGGGCAGGGAGCTGGGCCCAGCAAGTTGTTAGGACCCCGAGGAACATCATTCATTTTCCCCTTGGGGCCAGGAGAGCATGTCAGCGAGCCAGCCAGGAAAAATGGGAGGAAAGGGAAGAACGTGCAAATACCCAGAAGCATGGCAGTGCTGCTCCAGAGGGTTTTAGTGTAGCCTGAAGCCACACAGTGGGAGGCTTAAGGGGTGGGAAGGCCCAGTTCACAGAGGCCTTAGATGCAAGCGGTGAACAGAGGGCCGAAGAACAGCCACAAATAAAGAATAAGCCCCCCACAACCCCTGCCAAAAAAGGGGTCTTTGTCCCAAAAGAACCCTGTGAAAGGGTGCATACATAGGTAGATAGCATTTGATAGAATTTCTAGTGGCTTAGTACACTTCTGAGCCAGGCTTTATCAGTACCAGGTCCTAAATTGCAGACAGAAAAGGGAATTGGGAGATCCAGGAGATCTTTTATACTCTTGTTGGGGCCCAAATCAGGATGACATATGTTAGGGAGATTTCCTGTTTTAATAGAAAAAATCAGAGTCCCTTTCTTTTGGAGAGATGTACTAAAATACTTGCAGATTAAATGTTAACGTCCTTCTGGGTTTAATTTCAGAATAATCTTAGGGCAGAGGGCACGGTTTTGGTGAAATAAGATGGGCCATGAATTAGTACTTGTTATCTATAACTGGGTGACAGGTACATAATACCACATTCTCTTGTTTTTCTTTGTGTGCCAAAATTTGGCATATTCTATAAAATTTTTTTGGAAAGAAAAGGAAATTCTACCACTAGTCTCATTAAAACTTTTATTTAGGTTTTTCTCATGGGACACATACATCATTTATTACAGAAATTAATGCTCTCTGCAGGACTAGTCTAGAGATTAGTAAGTTTATCTTGCTCAGAAGTTAATGATTAGTCCTGTTTAATTTATGCCTCTGCCTCTCTGTTTACAGGATCTGAAAAAGCCATTTGATAAAGCTTGGAAGGACTATGAAACAAAAATGTGAGTGTTCCTTTTAAAAAAGTTAATGTAGGTAATTTGAGATTTCAGTCTTAAACCAAACTTCAGTTGCTTAAAGGAACTGTCTAAATACACCTCAATCCTGGAGAAAATTCACTTAAAACTGTGTTGCTGTGGTTCGTTTTGATGCCACATGCTTTCATACTTGGTATCTAAATTCAGTGATAAATTCCTCTTGAAACAAGTTTTTCCTGTCCCTTTTCTTTTATGTCATATGGTTCCAAAATGTAATTTTCAGGAAAGTTAAAGGGAGCTAAGGCCAATTTCCCTTGAGGTGTTTCTTTTTTTTTTTTTTTCCCTAATTACCTTCCCCATTTTATCAGCATTATGACAGCAGCACAATTTTTGGATGTCATCTTCCTGGTCATTTGTGAAAGCGTCTTCTTTCAGCTTTGTCAGTGTTTCTGCACACCAGTACAGTCCCTTGGTTTTAAAGGAGAGATTGGGACCCTTGCTTCCAGCTTTGTCTGACTGCTGCATCTGGCAGAGGACATGAGGAACAGGCGGGTTGGCTCTTCTCTGTGCATCACAGTTGCCACTGAACACCAGGTAGACAAGGCTGTCCCTGGGTGACTTCTGGCAGTGGTTGTAACATTTCCAATTGATTTGTCATTCTCAGAGTGGAAGGGATTGGCTAGCCAGAATGAGCTGGTGATTGTGGGGATAACAGTCTCAATTACTTTAATTACTTGCAAAAGAGAAAATATTTTTAAATGCCTTGTGTTTGCTTTGTAATTGTTGTGCATTGGGTAATAGTGTAGGGTTTTCTGAAACTTTAATATGAAGCCATCTGGTAAAGTGAGAAGTGTTAAGAAAGCCACTTCCAGATGTAACTACAAGGATTTAATTGGGTTTGTTGGTTTTTTTTTAAACCAGCCTTGGGTAGCTGTTCTGTGGTGAAGAATCACAAAGCTCAAGCCAAGGACCACCAAACCTTTGATACTTGTCCCATCCTGGATATCTTAAATTTCCATACCGAAAGATGCCAGGATTCCCTCATTCTGGAGTTTCACTAAGCATGCATTTGTGTGTAGGCACAGATAGAGTGTATAGAGGTTAAAGAGATACCTTGAGGGTCCGCTCAGCCCAGAGACACTCCAAATTTGCTGTCCCTGGCCTTTAGCATCCTTCCTCTACATGCCAATTCTGTGCAGTAAATGGAGAGGGTCACCATTCCTCCTTTACGGATGGGAAATCAAGACTTGGTAGTTTGCTGCTGGTCAGCCAGTAAGAGTAATTGAGCTGGGGCCAGGAGGTGAATTTGCAGGGTCCCATCCAGCCCCTTTTGCTGCCACCATCAGGTGCCTCATAGAAAACGCTGCTCGTCGTTACTGCACCAGGGCATGAAGGGGTTTCTGAAGAAGGTTGCCTGAAAGAGGCGTCTGGTTCTGGAAGGAAAAGGTTTGAAAGGGGAATGAGATTAAATTCTTTCAAAGCAAGACACACACAGATAGGGTAGGGACAGAATTTCTCACAAGATCCCAGAATTTGAGAATGAGGGAGTAGCACCCTTCAAAACTCAAAGTGATTCTAGGTGAGTAACTCTTTACCCATTTACATGTGAGATTGATTTCTCCCAAGAAGTCCTGTGATATGTAACAAACAAGAATAAGATATCCTTAAAATTCCTGAGGAGTAGTTCCATACCTGGTTTTTTAAAGAATAACCATTGTCAGACCGTTTCTTGGTCCATCTGAGGTGGTGTGTGTCGGGGGAGGGAGGCTGGGGAGGAGGGGGCGGGGCGTTGTGTGATTGTAGCCCCAGGGACCTCGGGCCTCCGGTCACACTCCCCCCCTGGTGCAGGGGTCCCTGCCAAATGGTGTCTTCTATTTACATTCTCACATTTATTTATATTCATTCAGGCTGTGCCTCAAGGTAAAAACAAGAATTAGAAACTGTATTTCTTGCCCCTTCTTATATAACCGCCCCCTAATGATGGGTACACTGGAACCCATGTAGTGTTGAACGACTTCTAAGAAATGTTACAGTGATGATCACTGTTCTCATCAAAACAGAGAGCCGGTGTGACTTCACTAAGCAAGAGCGGGGGAGGAGAGGAGGACGAGGGATAGGGTGCGGGGGCAGCCCTGCTGGCAGGTGGGGGATCGTTTAGCCACAGCGCCCCTCGGAGTGCTTGGCCGGCCCACACGCGGAATGCTGTTGCTGAGACACGAGCAGACTTTCTACCTCTCTGACCCAGATCTGGCCCAAAGTAGGTGCTTTGTGGAAGGAGGTATTTTTTTAAGCCAATTTTGGCGTTTTGATGACCAAATGCATGTTCCTTTCCAGGCAAATTAGGTAAGTCAGGAGGCTGTCCTGTTTCTAAAAGGCTTGGCGAGCCCTTGTGTCACCCAAGCCTGTCCCGTGTGGATCGCTGTGCCGAGGCATGTCCGTTTAGCCTGGTTTTTCTCACCTGCAGAACCAAAATAGAAAAGGAGAAAAAGGAGCACGCCAAGCTCCACGGGATGATACGTACTGAAATAAGTGGGGCTGAGATCGCCGAAGAGATGGAAAAGGAGCGGCGCTTCTTCCAGCTCCAGATGTGCGAGGTAAGAGGCCATGGGCGGGCCCTGCAGGGCCTGCGGCTGCCCAGGCAGCCTTGTCTGATTTCTGTCCGAGGCTTCAGAGAATTCACCAAGTACATTACTGGACTCCGCTTGTCTGATTTCTATTCCTAGGGCAGCCTTAGTCTCCTGGAGGTGGTGGGATTAGATTAACATCAACCTCTTATTAAAGACAGGGAGACACTAAACAGCATTCTCTTTGACCTCACATACATACTCACTCAAACTTGCCCCCTCTCTCTGGAATTCAGCTAAATACTCCCTCGTTCGTGTTCTCTCGTGAGGTTACTGGGTTCCCTTTGTTCCAGTGGAATCAGTGCGGAGGGCAGGGAGAAACCAGCTGGAGAGAAATGCAACCTGCCATCCTCTGGCCTTCTCAGTGTGAGTGAGTGAGAGCATTGTGCACCCAAGCCTCTGCCTCTAAATGCTCTAAAATGCTTCCACACACCTTCCGCTCGTCAAGGCACAGGCCCTGGCGCCCTGGGGAGCTCCTCTGCCCCTCTGCTCCACTCCACCCTGCAGCCTGAGCCCTTGGGCCACTGGGAGCATTTCCCTGCTGGATGCTTAGGGATGGGAAATATCACAGACCAATCGTGAAGGCCATTGCTCCAGCCTTTTCATGCCTTGCTTGTGGGTTTCTTTGTAGAAAGAGCAGGTGGAACAGTCCCCACCCTTGCCTGAGCCTTGGCCCTCCTGGTCGTGGTAGCGGAGCCCCTGTGCCCGATGTTGTTTGTGTTGTAGCTGTGCAAGCGTGTTGTAAATGTACAGGGTACACAGGTGATACTTGTGACAGGTCTGGGGACTGGGTTCAGCCTCTCTCAGTTGTTCTTCAGCCTATTAATCAGTCAACAGCAAAGCTAATCCAAAAAGAACTTTTTGATTTTAGAGTGTTTGTCAGTTGCAGTGGGGAGGTAGCCTTTGTGAATGTATAGTTCAGGAGTATATTTAAGTGAATTTTTATTCCAGACTAATCTCCTAAGTGGTCAATGGAGGAATTGGCCCCAGGATCAAGGACATCATATTGTCTGATATTACTCCAGCCCTCTTTTGGATTGTTTTTGCAAGCAATTTCTTTTTCAGCCCTTTTACTTTCAGCCTGGGTATATCTGTGAATCTAAAGTGTGTATCTTATAGACAATGTAGAGTTGGATCATTTTTTTTAATCCAGTTTCTCTCTGCCTTTTGATGGAACTGTGGAATCCATTCCTGTTGTATGTAACTATCGATGTGGTTGGATTTGCATCTGCTGTCTTCTTTGGTTTTTCATGTCTCATATCTTTCTTGTTCCTTTGTTCCTCCTTTGCTGCTTTTATATTCAGTGACTGTTTAGGAAGTTAACTAAGCTCAAAGTCTTACTACGATAGGAGAAAGGCTGTTTTATACATGTTGTTTTATAAACGGACATTATAAAAATAATACCTGCCTGGGCTGTTTCTCACAGTGTTAATCAGTCCAGAAGATGTGTGTTTGCCTTCTCAGATTGTGCTCTGTATTTGGCTGTGAAGGAAGAAATCTCTTTACCTAAACAATGCAAGACAGCTTGTTAAAAAAGGTTTAGTGAATTATGAAGCCCGGTCAGCAGGTTACTAGCATATCCTACTGGGCTGTGTGGCTATTGGTCTACCAGAAGTTTATGGAAACTTCTGGTAGATCTATAGTATCTATCCATAGTCTAGTAGGAGATAGGAAACCTTGAACAAGAGTTTCCCAGATTACAGATGAGAGATGTCATGTATTCAGGGTTCTTTATACCATATCCTGACAGTGGAGAAGATAGGGAATTTATGGAGTCTTTGTTTTGTAAACCTTTAGCAAAGAACAAATGTATTTCCTGATGCTGGTTTTATAGATTCCTTGAGTTTCCTGATGTCTTAATGGTTGTTAATGAATTCTCCAAGTTAAAAATGGCTTTAATTCATTTCAATTTAAAATTCGGTTTTTATAGCAATCACACTTTTATTAAGCATCAGGGAAGTGTCTTAGGATTAGAGACATAGTGACAAGAGTCTCAACTACAGAAGATGAGCAGTTAGTGTCCTAGATGGTGACCTGCCTAAAGAAAGGGCCCTGGGACAGAAGTGTTGGGGAGGTTGGTCCCGTTCATTCTGGCCACCCTCATTTCCTAATGCAACTAGAGGTTAAGGTATAATGTCTTACTAATTTTACTTAAACACTTTATTACCTGCATGTCGGATAATTCATATCATACCAAACTAAAAGAAACATTTAATATGGCATTCAGAAAATATTAAGCACCCACCATGAGCACTGCCCATAGTAAAAGAAGTGGAAAAGATAATCTGTCCTCAGAAGCTCACATTCTGCTTATATCTGTGACATTCCCTTTTTTGTTTTTTTAACAGTATCTGCTGAAGGTCAATGAAATTAAGATTAAAAAGGGAGTGGATTTACTTCAGAATCTGATCAAATATTTTCATGCCCAGTGCAAGTAAGTTCTTTTTCTTTGTTATAATGCTGTTTCATATATTTCTATACGGCAACTTCTGGTAGATCAGTTGTATTGTATTGAGGAAAATAAACACACATTTAAAAATCTGTAGTGAGAAGAAGCAGGTACTGCTGCATGCACGCTATGTCACAGGTGAACCTTTGACAGCACGTTAAATGAAAGAAGGCAGATGAGTGATTGCCAGGGCTTGGGGAAAGTGGGGAATCACAGCTAATGGGGACAGGGTTTCTTAGCAGGCAATGAAAATGTTCTAGAATTGGATAGTGCTGGTGGTTACACCACTGTGCGAATATGCTGAAAGCCACTGGATTGTACACTTTAAGAAGGTGAATTTTATGGTTTCAGAATTATCTCAATAAAAAATTTAAAAAATAAATATATAAATCTGCAGTAATTACCAAATATATTTATTTTTGCTCTTCTTTTGTAGTCTGACCTAACATATGGTTCTCAGATGTTTTTTGTTTGTTAAAAGAGAAATGAGATGGTGTCAGTGCAGTGTATTGAATCAAGAAAATACTTTCCTATATTATCCTTAGAGCAGTGACAGTGATGGCAAAGGAGGCTGTGGGTGGAAGAGGAGGAGGAGCTCCCATGTTGGGGGGCGGCCTCGGGTGGGGGGCAGGGCCCTTCGCGCGCTGGGCCTCCTGTCTCAGCCACGTTTTCTTCCTACTCCTCGCCCTCCTTCTACCGCCTGGCCCCAAGAAGCCAGCATAAACAGGCCCTGGCTCATTCACAGGAGGAGCATCGAATGAAATGGGGTAGAGACGGGGACAGCCTTAGAAGTCTTATAAAGTTTCAGATTTTACCCCAAGTCTATTGGGAAGCTCTTGGAAGGTTTTAAGCAGAGAATTCATTCTCTAAGTGCTCCTGGAGCTCCCTCTATGTGCCAGGCACTTTTTGAAGTTCTGGTAATAGAGGAAGAAGAGAACAAAGCTCTCCTGCGCACGGGCCTTCACTTGTGGTGGGGGAGAGCAACAGTAAGCACATGAGCAAATACGGGACAGTGATCAGAAGGGAGTAGTGTTGATTGGAAGTGTCAGGGGAGGCTCCTCCAGTAACATTACTTTGCACACTGGAGCAGGAACCAGATGGGGCAAGTGTGGACGTAGGCTATGACTTAGGTGCCTAGGTCCTGCCTGTGTTGCCTCTGTTTGCTCTACCTGTCTCCACGATGCCATCCTAAATACCGTGTCGTGTCTCCCACTGAACCGTATATTCTCTTCAAGGAGAGGGGCAGCAACATTGATTTCCTTAATCTGTATAGTGCATGACACATTCTTTCAGCTGTGAATTGCACTGTTTTGAACTGAGCTCTGCTTTGGAATTCTTCACACAGTTTTGGTGACATTGCATTGCTAACGAGGTTGAGGTCAAACAGCGAAGGAGGATGTGCTGCTGTATCATTCACCCTAGGTTAAAAGAAGATCCAAGCTTGAAAAAACAGTCTCAGAGGATGCCAAAAGACCCCTAATTTGTAGAATTTCCAAGATGAAATATTTTACAGAAATTTGAAGCCCTGACTTTGTGATTAACATATAAATTCCTTCTATCCTTGTAACCTTATGTGAGGCAGCTTAGGAAGTGGGTTGCTTCCTTGCTGATATTTTATTTTTAAAAAGAAGCTATTCTGGGATTTCCCTTTTTTTTTTTCTTATTTTGTCCAAACTGATCAGTTGGGTAGCAACAGAACTCTTGTGGAAAAGTGAACTAGTTGGCCTTTTATGGGCATAAGCTCAGTAACCTTTAAAAATGATGAATCTTCCATTACTTCCTTTTTGAATGAGAGTGAGAGAGAGTGTGTGTGTACTGCATGCTCTTCAAATCATTCAAACAGCTTGACTTTTTGAATCCACATTTTGGGGCTTAAAACTTGGAGCCTGAGTGCCTCAGGCCAGGGACAGAGGAGTGGCATATGGCCGTGCACTGTTAGGTAGCTCCTTCACACCCCACTCAGCATTCTCAGCATCCACACCTCACCCCCAGATGCTTGGCTGAGCTTGAGCAGGCACCATTCAGGGCCAGAGGCAGCCTGCACAGCCCACGTGCTTCCATGCATGCTGCTGTTCTGGGCAGGAATGAAGAGAGGCTTCTCTGTGTAAATGAGATCCTGGGGGCCACGTTTGAGTGTCCACCCATAGAACCGCTTAGATGCGTGTTATTTTGCTTCCTGCTGAGCTTTGCTTTAAGCATCTTGAAGAGTGCTACATGTTCTCTGTATTTTATTTAAGGAAAGAGTTTTCATTTCTACCTAGTTCATAGAGTATCCAGAAAATTTGTCATACTAACCTTTGCTGCTAAACATTGAGGATCCTGTTGTCTAGTGGAATCTAGAAGTAGGGCAGTCTTTAACACAGTAATGAGACCAACAAACATGGTCACATTCTAAAAAGTGGTAATGGGTGTTGAATTGACTTGTTCTTTAAACAAATACCATGATCAGCTGTTGCTTGATGAACTTGGGAAAGAGTTGAATGAGACACAGGTTCAGGGCCCAGTGGGATGGAGGGGCAGGGTGCAGGTGGCAGATGGGCACCGGCCGTGAGAATGGTGCACTGTCGTGCAGGTGGTAGCAGCAGGGAGAGCCATCCTGCTTGGTGGGAGCTTGAAGATTGAATCTCAGTGGGTATATTTGAAATCCTGGAGAATTTGGTTAGGCAAGGTAGAAAACATTTAATGAAAAACAAAATTTGGTATTTGGTAGTGTTGATGGTAAGCACTGTTTCAAGCTTGGAGGAGTGTTAATGGGTTCCCCAGAGTGGTCTGTCCTTAGGAGGTCACGGTGATGGCAGCAGCGAAGCAGCAGGCCCCTGTCGTTGAACTCTTCCTTAATGCCAGGGTGGGTATACCTAGGTGCCAAAAGATGCGTCACTGAGGAGGGTATAGAAAGACTGGCATTTTGAAAATCAGAGGGAGGCGATTTTCCAGGTAGATGGTCAAGATTAGGTAGGTGATTACAAAGATGAAATCCAAATCTTAAATCCAAATTTGTATCATTATTTCAAGCACACTGTCCAGTGTCATGCTGGAAATGACACCCGTGACGAGGAGCAGGTCTGTGAGCACTCAACGAGGAGCAGTACTGTGAGGCTCTCCTCCCCGTGGGGACCGCTGCCAGGCAGGGGGGTGTCCTTGGAGCCGTGTGCCTGCTTCCTCCTTCCCCAGGAGCAGGCCTTCCGTGTTGGTCTCCTGTGACATTTTTCCTACTCCCTATTGTAATGCTCTTCCTGTTTCTCTCCCTCTCTTGATTTCCTGTCTATTTCACAAGAATTTGAAGCGATTATGGTAATAGTTATATGAAGAAGAAATATAACTGAGACAAAATATAAGTATCAGAAGAGTTCATAAGAAGAGGGAAAAGCTCAGTTTCTCATTCCTGCATTTGTTCTTCCAAATTTCCTTTTTCATTTAAAAGGCATACTGGCTGTGTGCTGGCCACTGCTAGGAGTGGAAGGCACAGAGCTGCACAATGCATGGCGTTTCTGCTCTAACAGTGGACACAGACACATGGAGAGATCATTAAAACATGCTGACACAATTGCTATACCAGAAGCATATTCTATATTCCGGGAAAAAAAATGAACTAGGTAAATAAAGGACTGAAAATATAAAATGAGGAATTATGCATGAATCTAAAAGCTAAGGTAAGAAAATTCTAATAGTCCAGCTTCTGTGACACCTAATACTGAGCTGGTAATTGGCTCTCAACCCACATCCTGTGTGTGTTTTCCCCTTCCTTCCTCCTTGGAACTATTGTATTCAGTTTCATGCTGCATTATTTGTATGACCCCTTCTGTTTATCACATACTTGATATGGGGAAGTCCTACAGGACCATTGCAGAGTTTAGAAGTGATAAACATCACCTCACATGAGCACACGTTTCAAGGTGGTCACCTTGGTGTCCAATCAGCTGTCGAAGTGGGAGACTCCTTCCCTCTTTCCTCAGTTTATGTCTCATTCAACAAATACCACGTGCTTGAAATGTGCCAGGCTTTGTAGATACTGTGCCCTTAGCCTCCCGGAACTTCAGCTCTAATGGGGGTTTCATTTTAAATAATCATGCTGATCAATATATAATGGCAGTTATGCAAAGTGTTTTGAAGCAAGAGACAGAACATTCTAAGAGAAGAGCAGGGAGACCTCTTCTAAAGTAGAGAATCATGGATTCTCACTAATGAGGTTGTGGTGTTTAACTTAAAACTTGAAGAATGAGTGGGAATCAGCCAGAGGAAACAGAAGATATACTGCAGAGAGAAAACTCTAGAGGGAAAAAACAACAAATGTAAAGGGCCTGGGGCAGGAAGGATCTGGTGGCCACAGCCAGGCTAGTGTGTCTGGAACCTGGTGGGTGAAGGGGCAACTGGTGTGGATTTGAAGCATGGATATAATACAGGCAGGGGCCAAATCACATAGGCATTATAGGTCCTGTTATGGGTTTTGAACTCTCCTAGGATCACTGGGAAGTGTTTTCTTCATTCTTGTCAAAAGGGTTATGTACAGCATGCTTCAGAGGCAATGGTGAACATCAGCCCCCTGTTGTCTATAGAAAAACTCATGTAGCTTCTGTCACATTTCCTGAATCACTTACTATAAATGACTTCACAAGGTTTGAGTTCTGAGCTTTAAAAAAAAAATTCCTTTTGATATTGATCTCAAGTTCTCCAACCAATTTCCCTCTGTTGATGGGGCATAGCTATTTATGGGCATCAAACTGGCTTCGTTTTTCCTGCATTCTTTCTCTTTCCACATCACTTGTCAAGGCAAAGTTTTTAGTCTTATTCTCGTTTGCACCCCATGCCTTTCTGACCTCGGACTCTTCCACTCCTGAGCCAAAGCTTTCCCACCTCTGTCAATAAAGGCCTGGAAAGTCAGGGCTCATTTTTTATGGGTCAAGAAAAATTACAAATACTTAGGCTAATTGCAGTTCCTTTTCTATTCACTCCTCATAATTTTGAGAGCCATTTCATTCTTGGTTTGCCTGATATTTTAAGGTTCTGTTTGTAGTCCTCTCCACCGCCCACCCCCCCACCCCCACCCCCAGGAATTACTTGTGATTTGGGTCACTTTCCTTTGAAGAAGTTTTTTTCTCCATTCTAACAGAATTATTTCCTCTTTATGAAATACACTGTGTGTCCCTTTGTTTTTCCTCCTAGTTTTTTCCAAGATGGACTGAAAGCAGTTGAAAGCCTCAAACCTTCTATTGAAACACTCTCAACAGATCTTCACACGGTAAGTAGCTTCCCTCCCACATTAGTGTGGAAATGGTGTTTATGCAACAAACACTTTTTGAATGTTGCTTATGTGAATCTTATGCTTGCATGCTGCGCTGCCTGGACGTTAGCAGCCCTGTAGCCACCTGGAGCTCGTAGTCCCCATCGCCATCCTCAGTCCTGTGGGAGGCCTTTGTTGCATTTGTGTGGAAATGCCCTGTGACCTCCAGCATCTTACTGCACTTCTGTTTTGTTTTGTTTTTCTGAAGATCAAACAGGCGCAGGATGAAGAAAGAAGGCAGCTGATACAGCTTCGGGATATTTTGAAATCAGCCTTGCAGGTTGAACAGAAAGAGGTGAGGGCATTTAATTTTGAAAGCTCATATTATTTTGTGTCTACGTCTTGGGGGCTTGGGGGCTGAGGAGTGAGAAATCCATGTCCTCCAGGTGCCCCACAGGTCACTCTGGGGTGATACCATGCCACACCAAGCACTTACTTGATCTTTAAGTTTGGTTTTATAAAGCCATCTTTTTCGGTCTGTTTATTTCATGGTGGAAGCATTTACTTTAAAGGCACAGCCTTAATGGCAGTGTATAAACCTTTTTTACTGTTTGTTGCCAGATGAGTAGCTCTTAGCATCTCTATCACATAGACACGTGTTCTTCATGCCATTGGTTTCCTACCTGGTGCTCCATGGTTTCCCTACCCTGATACCTGTGGACTCCACCCACGTGGGCATCGACAAGGAAAGGTGGCTGTCTGAGCCTCCCAGCCCTGAGGTTCTGTAAAATGTGAAAAGCTAGATTTTCTTTCAGCTGTATTCTGATGGCCAGAAAACCTTAGTTTCTCTGGCACCGTCTCTTTCACATAATCACTTCTCTGCCCGCTAACATATTTTCAGTGATAATTTATGTTTTGGGGCTCATTAAAAACCTGTTTAAAGTAATATTTTAAGGTAATTTTATGATATGTTCACTGTATTGTAGACATTATAATGTAGAACTGAACATAAATCCCACTTGCTTGTCAGTAAAGGAATATGTCTAAATATATAGCTAATAGATTTTAAATAGATAACTCTTAAACTACTACTCAGAGCATAAAGTTCACTGTTGACAGTTTGGTATGCTCTATTTTGTTTTAAGTTCTTGTACTATAACTGAATATTATTGTTTTTCTCCCAAATGCATTTGCCTTTTGTGACCGAAGTCTAGGAGAGTAAGTAGTTCAGTTCTTAATAAATTAGAGATTTTTGCATGCTTTCTTCATAAACTTCAAGAAACACTTTATCCTGTGTATATATTAATGACTAGTAGCATTTTAACTCACAAGCCTTCCTCCTTCAATAGCAGTGGGTTTTATTATTAAAGTCTAAAGAATTTGAATACACAAATATTAGTGAAATGGAGATTTTCCAAGTCTACGGGCTTACACATTTGCTGTTGTTCCTTTGTGAAAATGAAGCAGCTCACCCGTCCCTCGCATCCTGCAGAGCTGAATTCTTTGAGTCCTTTTAGTCCATCTTCAGCCACAGCTCCTCTGAGCTGCCTCTGCTCACCCCAGCCCCAGTGATCTGAGTCCAGACAGCACATTCTCAAGACTTACTTCAATCGCAGCTCCTCCTTTTGGGTTTTGGCTGTGTCTTTAAGTGCACAGATGCTTTTTCTCCAGCTAGACCTGAAGCAGCTTGAGGATGCCCTCCTGCCTTCTGCCATCATGTTGGAGTTCTATACTGCTCACTTAGTAGGCTCTTGGTAAACACAGGTCTGCTAAGTGAGAGATTGGCAGATTGAGGTTATATGTTAGTGCTAGAAATTACCACAGTGTGGCGACTTGCTCACAACCTTGAGAATATACATGATCCTGACACTTCGATATTCCCAACATGGAATATAAGCAGAAAAAGAAGAAGAAAAAGAACTTGGAGTGTGGAGAAAAGAATGGCTTTCAGCTAACTAGCAGAGGCGGTGTGAGGTGTGGGAGCCAGCTTGCCACCAAGGCAGCCAGCTCTCTGTACACTGGTGGGAACTGAGGGCATCTTTTGTCTGGAGTGAAGCAAAGCTGAGGTTTAAAATAAAGGAGAACAGATCCTGGCACTTAGTAGTCCTCTGGGCACAGTGCAAGGGCTATGTTTGCTTTGGCTGTGCAGAATTAGGTTTGGAAAAACTGGCTGTTGTCAGAAAGCTGGTTATTTATAGCTTTGCAGAAAAGTATAACAAATTTACCAGCACAGATCAGAGAAGTCTTCATGGTTTGTTGTTTCTGTGGTTTTTCGTTGACCAGGCCATCTGTCCCGGATTACACCGAGGGTCATAAGAACCTTCTTTACTGCCCTTGGGCTTTATGTCCCAAGATCAAACTCACCGATCTCCTGGTTGTTGTTGTGTTGTATAATTTTTGTGGTTGGGGTTTCATCTTTTGTATTATTGTGTAGCTCTCACTCTCTTGTTTTAGATTCTCTGACTGACTGACGTGGCCCAGCACTGGCCCTTGATTTGGCCTCAGTGGAAGACTTGTTCATTGATTCACATTCAAATACCATTTTCCTAACAGTTATCGAAGCTGGATACAGTACAAAATAAAAGTTAATAGTTCTCACATCTTAAGGGGCTTACAGTTGGCGGGTAGAGTCAGAAAACTAATTGGGGTGCAGTGTACTGGAAGCTGTGTGGAGGTCAGCTCTAAGAAGGTGTGGGGTGGCAGGTGTGTGTCAGGAATAGGGTTTACAGGGTGATTCAGAATCTGTAGAGTCCCAGCAGGTGGGCACAGGTAGGCCAGCTTCTGACTAGGACAGAAAATTTGCCTGAGCAGCTGTCTGGCAGAGCAGAGGAGCATGGATTTACTCTGAATCATTTATCTTTCACTTTGTACCAGGATGACATTGAGCAAGTTATCTGACCTCTCCATGCCTTGGTCTCTACATCTTAAACAGGTGTGATAATGTCACCTTAGAGAGCTGTTATGAGATCAGAGGGATAATTCTGTAAAGCACTTAACCATTGACTTGATGAACAGCTGGTAGTTTATTCATTCATTCAACAAACCCCTAGATGCTGAGGTAACTTATTAGACAAAAGACCCAATTCCCCACTTCTTGGGCAGTATGGGTGGAGGTGGTGTCTACATAGGTCCTTCTGCCCGCTCGACCCACCCTGTTGGCCTGTCATCTGCCGCCTTGTCTTCATGACTGGCCCCCACCTCTGCCTTCCTCCCACTATGATGTAGGCACTGCCAGATCCTGCTCTAGGCTGAGCCCCTGCTCCTGACCCCAGCTTCCAGGTCTCGCCCAGCTTACCCCCTTCTGCGACTCCCAGCTTCACCAGCACTCTGCGCCTGCGCTCTCCCTTTGTGTCAGGGAGCCTCTCCATTGCCACAGCAGTTCCCACCTGCCTCACTTTTCCAGGCACTTCATGAATGTGGCAGTGATCCTTCCGAGAGGATCACCTGCAGGCAGGTAATGTTAGTCCGCAACTGCAGCCTGTGTCTGAGAGGATAAATGCCTCTGCTGGAGCGCACTCAGTAGTGTCAGAGCCAGGGTTTGAACCCTGGTCTGTTCCAGTGCAAGCCCATTCTCTTGCAGCTATATTATTGACTTGAATATCCATGTCAGAAAGAATCTTTTTAAAAATTACCCACAAATAATAGAATAGTGGTAATGAGATTTGAAAACGCTGTTCTTAGACCATGGCTTGGTGCTTGCTCAGCAAAGCCTCCAGCTCCTGCTGGTGTCCATGTGGGTGGACATACCCGTCATATCTTGGGAAGACAGTGAGTTGGACATTGAGCCCTCCCTTGACAGAGAAAATTTAAGCATCCAGAAGTGACTCCTTGGCAGTCATTCATCATCAGGACCCCGTGGTTAACACTTCATAAGGTCACACAAAACTTAAGACCACAGAGGGTTCCTGGGATCTGAGAACTTGTCTGCATGTCACAGGATGGGGGATATGTGAGTACTGGTAGAATTTTATGAGAGTCTTCTAAAGGCCCATAAAATGCCCACTTAACCTGCAGGCTTTGGACGTTGAGTCTCTATACTGCATGGCTCACTCTGTTGAGGCTTAGGTCATCCCTGGCTGTCCTGGGAAGTACAGAGTATCCTGGGGAGGCTGTCAGTCATGGTGACACAGACACCCCCCACCCCTGCATCCATCACTCTATGTTAAGTTCTGCTTCTACCCAGAAAGAAAGGCTTTTTTCCCTTGGATTATATTCATTAAACTGAAGTCGTGGTTACGTAAAGGGTTGACTTCATTTGCCGCCCCTTCCCTTGACCAGGTATTGTATAAAACACCTGTACAAACAGCTGAAGAAAGCTATTTTTCTTAGTTCACCTACAAGTCACCTTGAAGCTGCTGACATGTAGTTTGTTTAAAACAGGTTCATTTTTTGCTAAATTATATTCTTCTTATTACAGATTTTAAATTGCACAGCTTCAGATTTGCCTGCATGTTTTACCGGATTCCAGAAGTGCCAGCTCTAAAGAATGAAACAGTAATTTCTTCCTGAACTCTGGCATAGGGTCTAATTCTATTGAGGAGAGGAATGTCCTTTACCCTGTTCTTAGGACCTATGAAGAGTTCTGATTAATATGCTTGGCATGAACAGTTCTAGCTGCGTTTGTCACATGATTTCACCAGTTTGTGCAGGTTTTTTCTCCCCAAATTAATAGACTATTTTTTGGTTGTGCAGTTTAGTCCTTTGACAGGTTTATTTTTAGTCCTTTACAGAGATTCATGTAGGTAAGCAGTATTTCTCCATTTCTCCTCCACTGCATTTATTCCCACTGGTGCTTAAGGCTGGGTTTGCTCTCAATTTCTAGTGCTAATAAGCTACCCTTTTGAGAGAATATGGAAACTGGGACCATTCTCATTCTAATGAGTGAGCTGCTTGCCCTAATTGTCTGCAGGCATGAGTACTGCATGAACTCCCATGGAAAATGAGTACATTTCTCCTATTTTGGCATCTGCTTGTTCAGGCTCTGTTGTCAGTTCAATAATGGAGTACCTGATACATTACTTCTCAGCTGAATATTTTTTAAAATTTTTTGAAGAGTTATCCCATATATATTTTAGAGTTCAGAAGTCAGTGTCAGACAGCCCATGTTCATGGAGTATAAGACTTAATGTTGTTAAGATGGCAATACTCCCCAAATTGATCTGCATATGTTAAGTTCTGCTTCTACCCAATTGCTATCAAAATCCCAGTTACCTTTCTAGCGACCCCAACAGAAATTGACAAGCTGATTCTAAAATTCATACAGAACTGCAAGTGGCCCAGAATAGCCAAAACCATCTTGAAAAAGAAGAACAAAGCTGGAGGACTCACACTTCCTGATTTCAAAACTTACCACAAAGCTGTGATAATCAAGACAGTGTGATACTGACATAAGGATAGACATATAGATCAATGAAAAGAATTGAAAGTCCAGAGATGAACCCTTACATTTATGGTCATCTGGTTTTCAACAAATGTGCCAAGACAATTCAATGGTGAAAGAAAAGCCTTTCCAACAAACAGTGCTAGAACAAGTGGATCACCACAAACAGAAGAATGCATTTGTACCCCTTCCTCACACCATAATCTAAAATTAACTTGAAACGGATCAAAGACCTAAGTAAGAGCTAAAGCTATAAAACTTTTTGAAGAAAATATAGGTATAAATCTTCATGACCTTGGATTAGGCAACGATTTCTTAGATGTGACTTCTAAAGTACAAATGCCAAGAGAAATGGTAGATAAATGGGACTTCATCAAAATTAAAAACTCTTACAACTCAGAAATCTTTTTAAGAGCTGTCAAGTATCTGTTTTCATCTGTTGTTTTCAGATGAAGTCTAAACTTTGACTGAAGTCTATCTGCCCCTTCTACCACTTGGCCCACTTTATTCTCAGCCACACCGTTTGTCCTTGTGTCCCTGGAGGATGGCCATAGCCGTCACTTTCCTCTCCAGGCCTCTGTGTGTCGTCCCTTCTGCCCTGATCACCCTCCCTCGTTCTCCTCCCGTTCTTGCTTTCATCTTTAAAGCTCGCTTCCTGCAAACTCCCCCATGGCTTTCTCCCTCCTTCGGCTCTGTCGGTTCCATATCACGTTGATTGTGGTTCATTAGCTCTTTCATTGGTTAGGCAGTGCCTGGTCTCCCGAAATCTTGTCTGAGTGATGGTGGAGGTGACACTGGCCCTGTCTTTTGGGACACCCTGCGGTCAGGGCATGTGGTGTAAGGTCAGGGCTGTCAGAGTGGGAGGCAGAGCTCCCTTCCACCCTCTGCTCTGCTTCTGACAGGCTCTGCATCTTGAGCAAATCACTTATTTCATTGTGTTTCTGTTTCTTCCATTACGAAATGAACTGGGTAGAGGGGTCCCTCAGTAAACAGGCAGGTCTCATCCCTGCCTGGTTGGCCTGGGAATTCTCTGTTCAGTTTTGCTCCCCTTGGGTTCCGTCTGCCAGCATAGCCAGTGCCTGCACTGGCAGTCCCCTCCACTCTAGCTTGGATTCTGATACCACCTGTTACACAGGGGGCACCTGTTGGTTACCCAGGTTTCACTGATGGTCCTGGCCCTCAAGAAGTTGAAGTCTGGAGTCTCCCAGTTGTCGTAAACTCCATCAGATTCTCAGCTGACCTAGAGACTGGCCTACCCTGAACCTAAGTTCAGTTTCATTATCCCCCTGCTGGGATGATGGGGTCAGAAAGTGAATACCTGCTATGTGCCAGGTGGCCCCACCTGTTGTTTTACTCAAACCTTACTCTGTTTAATTCTTACTGGGTATTGTTTTCCTTTTTTCCAAAGAGGAAACCGAGGCAGGCAGCCTAATTCAGAGGCAGAACATTGTTTTTGTTTCTGTTCTGCTTGAAGCCATCCCCTTCCAGTGTCAGGTCACCTTTTCTCTCAAGGGCCGCTCAGCCACTGTCAGGGACTTCAGGCTCATAATCGAGTCAGACCTTGAAACTTCCAGATGGCTCATTCTTTTGGCCTGTGTGGGAATGCTGGTTTCTTGACATTTCCTTCTCCAGGCTGGTACATGGTATTTATGAGTTCCTGGGTATGAATTCTATGCCACTTTTGTGGTGTGGTGAGGGGAAATTTTTGTAATTCAAAAAAAAGTTTAAGGGCATAAATGTCATTTTGTGTACTGCTTTTCTAAAAATTGGAATCTGGATAGCATTGAAAACAACTTGTTTGGCTGTTTTTAGGATTCACAAATTCGTCAGAGTACAGCCTATAGTTTACATCAGCCTCAGGGAAACAAAGAACACGGAACCGAGCGCAGTGGCAACCTCTACAAGAAAAGCGATGGGTACGTGGAGTGGCGTTACTACAGTTCAAATGTATGCTCATTAGCCCCTGTGTCCAAAATTTCTGAACTCTTATTTTTTCCCCCCTTTATCTGTAAGGATCCGAAAAGTGTGGCAGAAAAGGAAATGTTCAGTTAAAAATGGCTTTCTGACCATATCCCATGGTACCGTAAGTATGCTCTTTTAGTTCACAGTGTAATGAGGCGAGAGCGTGAAGAGCCTAGTGAAGCAGAGGACACTCTGTCCTATGCGGGTCACGGCACCAAAGGTACATTTCAAAGGCCTTACCTGTTGAGAAAAGGCCCTTCTTGACAGGGTACTCCTGCCCCGCATTTATGCTTCTGCAGCCAGGGAAGCCTTATCATTCACTCACTGCCTGACGGAGTCAGGAACACCTGATAAGCCAGTGGCCTTCAGTTAGAAGCCTGTGACTTTCAGGAACAAACAGCAAGGCGCTCTCTTGCTTTCTGTCTCTGGAAATTGAACATCAGTCTTGGGAAGGTTTCTCCTTTTTCCATTAAGGGGAAAGTGTTTAAGTGGTCAGGACTCTTGAGAGTCAGAAATTCAAGAAAAGAGCAATTTCAGTAACTTTATTATAGAAATCTAACACACTGCACCCAACTTCAAGTCCTTTTTCTGTCATCTTGTGTATCAGAGCCCAGGCAGGAAATGGAGCCATGTATAATGAATCTATTAAAAAACCAATCAGAGAAAAATGATCTACTAATCTAGCTTTCAGAGTCCAAGGATTTTAACCACAGTTTCAAATACAGCCCTTCACACATGGTGCTCCTTCCACAGTGGTTTAGGATTATGATCACCTTATCTGGTATGATAGGATCTGGTGAAAACTGTGTAGGCTGGTAGACTTCTTTGAAAATGTCTAAAGGCCGAGGTGGTTGCCATTTTCTTGCTAATGAGAACACTGGGGATGGCTTGCATTTCTGCTCCCCAGGCCCGAGACCTACACCATGTGTCTGCTGGCAGCCTCAGTCCTGTGAGTAGGTGGTAGTGAAGAGAATGCTGGGTCTCCCCCTGCCTTCCCTGTCCTAAGTGGGTACCTGGGGAAAGACAGCACAGGCCCCTCTAGAAAGGTCATGCCTAGTGTAGTCTTCAGAGAAACAGCTCTTCTCGGTGCTTATGAGTAGGGAAATAGGATGAAACCTCACTTGGGGAATGGCGTTGCATTGGGGCTCCTCCTTTTCACTGACTGCTGTGGGATGGTGAGACAGTAGAACTAGCATGTATCAGGTTATCTCAAAGGATCTCTTTGGGCCTCTCGCCTAGGGGATTTAATGTGCATCTTGCCTGGGCAAGGAAAGATCATCTCTTTTCTGAAATCCAATTTTTACTGGCCTTGGTTATGATTGCCACATCAGTCCTGGGGCCACGCAGTTGGGATCCTGATATGTTCTTTCTGTATAGATATGTGGGTGTGTGTCGGGCTTGAGTGCCATGAACTGAGGACAACGAATTTATTTTTACTGCCTCAGTGTGGAAAATTTCATAAAATAAGACTATGAGATTCATTTTGTACCTGTTTACAGCTTTGGTATATTTGCTTCATTAAAGTGTTCACTGAACCCAGGGCCTCAGCTTAAGCCAATGAATGCTTCTACCTCCATAAGAGATGGAAACAGTCTTGGCCATCCTTGCCGGACAGCATCAGCTTACATTGCTTGTGCTTCCTCTCAAATGACACAGAGGCTTAGTTTTTCTAAATGTTGATAAGTTGCCCCAGTTTGGCAGATGGTACAGTTAAAACTAGCTCCACTAGCATGCTGACAGCTCACTCGTCACACAGCTGGCACATGGAGTTAAGTGCCTTGTGTTCGGGGAACCCTCTCTAGGGAATCTGTGCTATCTGATGGCTCACGCTGCCCTAAGCAGCCTGGGCCCTGAGCGGGCGGCTGGAGTGGCAGCAGGAGGGGGCTATGCCACTCTGCCCTGCCAGGAAAATGAGTGTGTTGGTATAGAAGCCCTTCTGCCTCCCCTTTCCCCATGTGCATTTTTCGTCCTCTGGGAGGCCAAATCCTAACAGCCGCCTGCTCCTCTGTCTCCTGAGTGTTTGCATGTGGTGACCTGAATTAACCTCCACTAAGAAAGAGTTAAGAGATGCATTTTTTATTGAGTTTTGTTTTAATTTTGCTCCTTGGGTAGCTTACCTATTTAGCCAGCATCTCCCCGACTGATTTACCACTAGGGGAAAAAAGGGGCAATTTTTTGGAGACATGACTGAGTCAATGGGAATCTAAGAGCCGCATCTGGTACTCAGTAGAGAAGCAGGTCTTTAAGTCATGGAGGCACAAAGATGTATTTGCTCTGTTAGGAAACTGGCTTCTTCCCAGGAAGCCGGCAGCCTTCAGAGGGTATGAGATTGTTGTGTTGTGTACTCTAGCAGAGGGACAAACAATGCCGTCTGGGAGGAATTCAGTGAAAGCCCAAGTTGGTGCACCTGTTAGCCAAGGCTGGTTGTGTGTTCTGGCTCTGGAAAGAAGTGTTGCTTGGGACACAATAATTAATAAGGTATCCTCTTTGCCAAATTCGTAGCTTTGCCACATTGCCAAAGACTGGGGACTGGGTTAGGCTGGAAAAATGTCCATTGGTTCTTACACAATCTAAACTTCTTAAAAATGATTATCAATCATGCAGAAACAAGTTATAAACTTACTTTTGAAGCCTGACAAATTGGGAAACAATGGATTGGCATGATACAAATTGGAGCTTCACTAAGAATCTAGACCTTCATGGCAGACACTGCGTCTGCAGGTCTGTTTTCACTCCTTCCTGAGTCTTCTACTAAACCTTCTAGAACTTCTCAAATTAGGCTCTCGAGGAATGCTGGGATCCGATGAATCAGACAGAACTGTTCTATAGCTGAATTAAATGATGACACTTTTTCCCAAATTACAATAGCAGGGGTAGGAGGGGATTAAATGGATAGAATTTTGTTTTTAAAGTTTTTCTCCCATAAATTTTTCTTGTATACTTAATCTGAATAGACAAATAGCACATAACTATTAATGTAAAACAGAACAGCTGATACTGTTTAAAGTGGTCAGCTTGTATGTTCTGTGGACCCCTTCTGTTTTTTTGTGGATTTTTTTGGTCTCCTTCCTTCCTGAATTTATTTATTTGTTTGTTTGTTTGTTTGTTTACTTACTTATTTATTTTCTTTTTCTTTCTTTTTTTTTTAATTATTAAGGTATCATTGTGGACCCATTCTTATAGTTTTTACTTTTCAGTATGTAGCCACATGTGCGTTTATAATTGTTCCTGCTTCACAGATAAGCACTGAATATCCTTCCATATTTTGTGGTAGTCATACACTGTGAAGTAAGAAGTTTGTCCGATGGCAGTTGTCTCAGTCAGAATGACCAATTATCCCCAATGGCACAGGGACCGCAAAAGAATACCAGTCGGGGCAGGGATGGGGAGGAGGGTAGCAGTGAAGAAGAGGTGGCATTAATTCAAACTCTTCTTTGCTGCACAAGGATACCTAACGGTCTGCCTCGGTAAGTGACAGTGCTCACCATGCAAGACCACTCTGAGGACAGGAGGGAGGGGCAGGTAGGAGCTTGGGCTCTGGAGCCAGGCTGGCTCTTTCCAATGTTGACTCCACTGCTCCCAGGCTTGATCAATTTATTTAGCCTGCCCAGTAACTTTTTTTATATATAATGTAGCCAATATCTTTATCTACAATTGGAATAGTTCCTACCTCAAAGGGCAGTTAGGAGAATTAAATGAATTGATTCATTAAAAATGCTTAGAACAGTGCCTGTCTCAGATAAGCAAATATTATTAGCATTATTATTATTATTAATAGCTGAGTAAATGTAGCTAGTAGCTAGTATTATTATTATTATTATTATTTAGAATCATCCTCTTGTCAATGAAAATGTTCCTGTGTTTATCAGAGTGCACCAGTTCCTTTTATTGCTTTTGTATCTAAGACTCAGTGGATACCAACAATTTGGAAGTAGGCCAAGAATGTCACTAATTACACATATATAGTTTTTTGATCACTGCAGGTGAGAGGAGTAGATGCTGACTTTATATGGGCCGAGCACGTGTGGTAAAGGGCTTGGCTGCTTTGTGGGGTGGGCTTCTACCCACCACCAGTCACTCAGCTGCTCGGGGAGCCATGTGATTCTGTTGGTAAAGACCCAAAATTGGATTGATGGTGCTTTTACTTAAAATTGTCAAGGTTTGTAAGATTAGGCAGAACTTGGAGTCTTTGAATTCTTATTTCTGATGATCTGAGGATTCTGTTAGGCATCTAATTTGTGGGGGGTATCCAGTGGCTTCCATGTAACAGATGGGGTCAGCTTGACCATGAACCAGGAGGGGCTACAGATGGGGTCAGCTTGACCATGAACCAGGAGAGGCTAGTGCAGCCCTGTTTACCTAAGTCCTGCTTATCCAGACTTCCTTTTATCAAACCCAAATTGTTCACACTGCAAGGATCAGTCCTCGTTTAATGGACACTCTACTCTTTCACCCCCACCTCTGGAGTTTAGTAGATGGGGTCTGTAAATGCAGGTCTTCATTTACAGACCTCACAGGTCTGCCCTCATGTTGACGCACATGTATGTATCTCACTTAATCCTAAATCCAAGCTTTTACAATTTCTTAATGCAGCTAGTGGCCACGGGAAGGGATGAACAAGAACAATTAAAGTGTAAGACATTTCATTTGACCTTTCCTAATTTAGCAGCTTTGTAGGTGGGTAGGATAAGCCATTCACATTTGGAAATTTTTCCAAGATTTGGAAATTTTTCCAAGATTTATGAGAGGAATTTTGCTGTTCACAAACTTTTTTTTCCTGAAATTATCATCTGTCCTTTGCTTTTTTCAACTAATTATGATAGTTTTTGACAGAGTTATAAAATAGCCATTTTTGACACATCTCTGACAAAAATATATTCTGATCTCTTGTTACCATTGTTGGGGGGTGAGGTGGGGATATGTATGTGAATGAGGTGGGTTTGTTGAAGATTAAGTGACAGATGGTTGGCATGTAGGGTTATGAATCAACTATCTCATCACATAAGAATGTAGGGGAAATTATTTCTCTTGTCATTCTTGTGCTGTGAGATTACTTTCACTGGAAGTGAGTGTTTACATACATGAAAACACTTTTAAAATCACCAGAAATTGAGCTGGGTGCCCATGTCATGCAGCCAACTATGTGAGTCATCAGTAGATTGAGGATGGAATGGCTCAGAGCTCTAGCTGTGGAGCGTTTTTCATCCTAGAAAGCCCACTGCTATCTGCCTCAAAGCCGGCATTAGTTGTCTTGCTGTCTGGGTGGTGTGTGGACCACCAAGTGTCCCTTGCAGGGGGGAGCGGCTGCCCTCGGGGTGCCCAGATTCAAGGACACACTGGGATGTGCCTTTCTACATGAGGTCTGCCTTCTGAAAGCTATCTTTGCAAACGAATGAAAATCCTGTATTTTAATGAGAAAATTTACTATATAACTTTCCATTCCTTCCCACCCATCTCTGTTTTTTTGTTTGTTTGTTTTTTTAAACAGGCTAACCGGCCTCCTGCAAAGCTCAACCTATTAACTTGCCAGGTGAAGACCAACCCCGAGGAGAAGAAGTGTTTTGACCTTATTTCACGTAAGTTTATTTCTGATGCTGAGCCACAAAGAAAGTATTTGAACTCTCTTCTAGAACATCAGTCCCATTGCAGACAGTGCATTTTAAAGAAGCAGTTTTTGAAGAGAAATGCCTTAATTTCCAGTGATACACATGCTTTTTCTTTCAACTCCAGCGTGTCTCTGGAAAACCATAGGCGGCCCTTTTGTCCTCGGCAGCTTTAGGCCGCAGGGCTGCAGTTTTGGGGGAAGGAAGGTCCGGCTCCCCTTTCGGAAGGCAATTATTAGGGATTTGGGCACCTAAGTTGTATTTGTAGAGAAAAACTCTAGACCGAGCATTTTGGAAAGAGGAGTGCCTTGTATTTGCCTCAGCGTCCCTGAGCCTGAAGATGTCTGTTGGGTTGTATTACTGAGGGCTAGGAAGTTTTTTACTGTATAACTCAATGCTTACTGCAAACTTGTGAAGTAATTATGACCATCTCCCCCTTCCTAGGTGAGGAAACAGAGGCCCATGGTAGTTATACCTTGTACCCCATCTCCCCATTCTGACACGCACTGCACTGGGCTGCAGGGAGGCACTGAGCAGCGTGATGTGTGGAAGGGCTTTGGGTGGTGTTGGTTCTGTTCTTCAGATGCTAGACTGATTTGTGAAATACAGGTTGACTTTATTCTGTGTATAATCCCGGGTCCCTACCCAGTCTAGTAAGGCCACAGATTCACTTACCCTTCTCATTGGAGCATGCTCTCAGATCCTTTGTTCGTACAAGATGGTGTATGCATGTAAAGCTGACCATAGTTGAAAATGTGGTTGCTATTGGGGTTATCGACCTCTAGAGAGCCAAAGTTTGAGTTAAAGGGAGGGAACCTGACAGAATAATCTGATGTTGACCAGAGGCCAGGGAACAGTTGGAGGGTTTTAGACCTTTCCATTTTCTGAAGAGGTAACCCGTGACAAGCATCATGTGACCCTTCAGGACTTGATTGGCACTTGGTAGTTAACAAAGCTTGCTGAATCCTGCACGGGTGAAGGTGGGTGCAGGCACCCCTCTGCTTGCCCATGGAACCCCGCTTAGGGAGGTGCACAAGCAGTTATTTCAGCCTCAAAAACAACTTCAAAGCATTCCCCAACCTACATACATAATAGCACGTTAGGTACGAAGGAGGCTCTGTAGCTGGTAAGTGCCTAATACTACCAAGCATGAATGACCGCATTCTTTGGATGTGTGGGAAGGCAGTCCTGGGTAAATCTGATTTTCTGGCAAGCTGGCATTTGCCAAGATTCCATCCATGGCTTTGCTCTAGTGCCTCATGCATAATAAATGTCTTTAGGCAAGTGCTTCCAGCCTGTGCTACCCTGAAGGGCTTACTGAGTCTGAATTCCTGAGGTATTCACTTTAGAAAACTCTTTTACTCCTCAGAGGGCTCTAACAATTACTTTTGGGGGCCAACTACTATATAGCATGTTAAAAAAAATAAAGCTTTTGAAAGGATGGTGATAATTTAATTGAATAGCTTCAGTCTTTGGAAGTTGAATCTCTTTAGACTTGAGTGGAGAACAGGGCAGGTTAATTAATGCGGATTACAAAGTCACAGTTAACCTGTCAAGGGCAGGCATATAAAGGATGTGAGAAGGTGCTTGATTTTATACAAATTGTTAATGTCCTAGCAGAGAGTTAAGATTACTTCTGGGGTTAATTATGAAACATTTCCTTTTGGAATTGCTTACGGATTTCTGTCTGGGCTCAGAACTGACAAAACTCCTTTGCCATGCAGATGACAGGACATACCACTTTCAAGCAGAAGATGAACAGGAATGTCAAATGTAAGTTATTTGGAAGTGGGACTTGGGGCTGGGACTCAACAGTACTTGGGATTTAACACAGTGTCTCTGTTGTTTGCTAGCTGGATGTCTGTGCTGCAAAACAGCAAAGAAGAAGCTTTAAATAATGCATTTAAGGGAGATGACAACACTGGGGAGAATAACATAGTCCAGGAACTGACGAAGGAGATCATCTCTGAAGTCCAGAGGATGACGGGCAATGATGTGTGCTGTGACTGCGGGGCGCCAGGTGACCCAGGGCCCCCATCCTGCTCTAGGGCATTTCAGTCTCCTTCGGATTCACAAAACCCTGTCACTGAGTCTCCCTTTCATGTCATACAAAGTTCAGTTCTGCTCAGCCTGACCACATCCTGTGCCATCTGGTGGTGGGAGTGGGAAGCTACTTGTCTCTGGGCCTCAGGGCAGGGCGGGTAGAGGGCCTGAGACTGAAGTCAGCCTTTCAGTGCTTTCGGAGACCGGAAACCCCAAGCTCAGAGTGGGGTGAAACCAAGGTCATCTGGCCATCACGTGGGCTCCGGAGGCTGGGTAGGGATGGCCTTTCCTGGGAGTTACTCCATCCTCCTCTTGTGCTACTTGTAGAACGTGTGCAGTAATGCTAGGCTGCTGTCTAGTCTGTGGCCCTGGAAGGGGCATTTCCTCTGTTAGTTACCACTTTTCCTATATGGAAAAGGAAGGAACTGGTCAAGATTGTTTTTGGGTTCCCTCCAGGTGTCACACTTTGGGAAATGAGATGTTTGTTTCAGCATTTTAGATAAAGCCTAGTAAGGGCATAGTTTTTTAATGGACAGAGTATCATTGTAGGTTTTAACAGCTAGTATTTTAAGAGTTTATGGAGTTGACTTATTCTGATTAAGTTGGTATGGTGTTGGGGAGTCGGGGAGCTGTGGAGTAGCCTTTTCTAAACATTTATTAAATGAGAAAGATGGTGGCTTGGCCAGCATGGTCACTTACTCTTTCATTATATGAGTTTTTCATTAAAAAAACAACCCAAATAGAGTGAACAGTTGAGAAGTGCCATGAGTTTCCTGTTACCCTAAAGGCCATATTTGAGGGTGATTTAGGGGATTACCCCATGGGGTCTTAGACCCATTGAAAAATACCTTAAGCAGAAGATGAAATAGGAAATGATAAGCAGTGAATTGTGCTTTTTCCTAAGGACAATTATAATACTTGGACTTTTGAAACACTCTTGTAAAGAAGCTGAATCTGTGTACATTTTTGTTTGAACATGCTAAGACCATAGAGGTGAAGTGAAAGTTGATGTGAAGTCTAAATGTACACTCACACCTACCAAAAGCATGAAACAGTAGAGATGTTAGTCTAGGTCTAGTGAACAGAAGACGCAGGTGTCCAGAGAATTTCCTTCCATCGACAACATTTTTTATGACCTGAAAAATAACTTCACAATTATCTGTTGACCAAGGTTACAGTATTTACCTGCTGTGACTTTCTAAGGACAAGCAGTTCCAAAGAATGGAACTTACAGGCTGTGATAATGTGCTCAATTGCATTTTATTTTGAAAGCCCCATTTTCAGTAAGTTCAGTATTCATCTGTCAGGCATTTCTTGAGTACCTACTGTGTGCCAAGCACCTAGTAGGATGCTTCATTGAGTAAATACAGGTGCTCTGAGGGGAAAGACTGTGATGCAGGTCATGGTGCGGTGCAAGTATGGGTTTGAGCCCAGGTCAAGGCAGGACTGCAGTTTGGCCCTGTACCCACGTGAACCTCGAGCAAGCCCTTCTCCTTTCTGAGATGACACCCCCCGTTTGCCTTCTGGCGCTCTTACATGCATTAAGTGAGGTATGTGTGAAAGTACCTATAATTTCTGAAGCTCTCACAATCAGAGCTATTATTGCTACTACCAAAGTACTGAACACAGAGCATGGCATCAGCTCATAGTGTGTCCTCTGTCCTTACTATTAGCATTTTGTAACCATGCAGACATGAATGTTTTAAGTTGGTTCCCCACATGGTACTAGACTTAGACAGGCCTTTTTTTTCCTATGCTCCCCCTCCCCCACTTTGCTGGTACTAGCAGGTGGGTGACGTGCCGGGTCTGTACTCAGGATGGACCCCCGAGGTTCCCGTGGCCACTAGAGGGCACTGAGCCCTCTTTATTCTCTTTCACAACAGCACCTGTCACTTGGGAATGCTTGTGAAGGAAGGGGAGGGTAGGAGGAGAAATGAGTAAGTAAATGGACGGGTGGGAAGAGGAGGGAGAACGGATGTGGGCACATGTGCATTTTGTGCCAGTGGTGGTAATTACGGATGGATGAGGGGACTGGCTGCCCAAGGATCAGGAACATGCTCGTGCTCAAAACTCCCATGTTCAGTAACTGTGCAGGAAAACATTCTGACCCCTGGCCCTCTACTTGCTATGAGCTCCAATTTTTCCTGTTGTCTTTGGCAGATCCTACGTGGCTTTCCACCAATCTGGGCATCCTGACCTGCATTGAGTGTTCTGGAATCCATCGGGAGCTGGGCGTTCACTACTCCAGGATGCAGTCCCTGACGTTAGATGTGTTAGGAACATCTGAGCTGCTGGTAATTTTCAAGTCCTTGATTTTGGAATGAAGTACATGAGCTGAAATCTAAGTTTTTATTTTGGCTTTCAAATTCACTTTGTTTCTTGAAATTCCACTGGGCTGGTGGTGGTTAATATTTCAGATGGATTTGGGCAATTAGAAACTCATTGATAATTCCTCCTTCTTAGTTACTACTGGTTGAGGCACTTGTTGTTGCAAAAACTTCATTCTTAAATGAATCAAGTGAAGTGAAAGTGAGAAGGGAGCACTGAGATGGATGTAAGACTTTGGAGTAGGGTGATGGCACTGTGAGGTCCACCTCCCCCGCTGGACAGATGCAGAACAGAGCCAGAGGCTACAAAGGACTCATCCTCCCTGAGTCACAGCGGATTTTCTGCCAGGCGTGCGGTGTCCATCCTCCAGTGGACTTCTCCTCTGCCCTCCTGGGCTTCCTTTGGGAGAGATACTGGTCTTTGCTTTCACTGACTTTGTTTCTAAAAGAACCTTATTCTTGGTTTAGGAATAACACATAAGCCAAGTGACATAGAATGATACCGGAGTTAAAAGCACTTTCTGTGAAATAACTTCCAGAGACTTGAGACTGTGGCCCTACCAAGAAACAAGGCATATCACACCTGGATGCTTTGGGGCCACCTAAGACACGAGCTTTCGTGGCCTGTTGTCAGAGTCTGTAATTGCTGCTTAGAAAGCAGTGTTAAAATTCTTTCTTGGAGTGGCTGGGGTTGGACAATAAACAGTAAGTTTATTGATTTTAATGAAAAGAGCAGTTGTCTTGACAGAAAATCATTTGTTGTGGTCAGTATAGCTCTCAAGGGGCCATAAATCTTATTGATGACAACACTGGATCCACCTTGTCTGAACTTGTAATGCATTTTGAACTATCTGGTCAAATCCTTCCTGTCTTTCCAAGCGATTCCTTTATGAACTTGAAAGACAAAGTTGGGAGAAACTGGAGTGGATTCTGGTAGCCCCAGTTAGTAACCACTGTGATGGCTTAAAGTCTGAAACCAAGCTAGACTTGGCAAGACACAAGCATTGTATTCTTAGTTACATGCTGTGGTTACTGTTAATGTAATAATGTGTTCAGCCTGTGCAGAGCTGTGTGTGTACAAGTGGTGTCCTGGCTGATTTGATGATGGCGTAGATTTGAGATTCTCACTGTATTTTCAAAGAAACACAAATTACTTCTCAGTAAGCACTGGTAAACTACAACAGAGTGGCTATACTGCCATACTGCGTTCCTCGAGACACTGGCAAAATAGTAATTGCTTATCTTTTCCTAGCACTTTGGCAAAGCACTTAATCTGTAAGAGCTCATTTGCCCTTCACTACAACCCTGTGACCTTGGTATGTTTCCCCCACTGTACAAAGGAAGAACTGAGGCTCAGAATGTTATATTAATATGCTCAAGCTTACGTAATTATTGAAGTGCCAGCTCTGGGGTGAGGACCCCTTTGCTCTGATTCCAGGACTCACACTCCTTATCTAAGTCTCTTTCCTCTGTAATCATTGGAAAAGCAAACGGTAAAAGGCCGCTGGAATCACATGGCATTTATTTCCCACCCTCCGTGTGCCCTGACCTGTGTCTGGTTTCTGGTCGCTCACAGCAGGTGGACATCTTCTCACCTCTCTCCCCAGCCCTGTTCACCATGTGCCAGGACTGCAGATATGACATCCTGTCCAAAACCCTCATTGCTCAGCCATTAGGTTAAGTGATAGAGTGATAGAGTGCGTGTGTCAAGTGCTAGTGTTCATTTGTAAAGCAGGAGCATTTTGAGCCTTTTTAGAGCAGCTGGGTTATTTTGTTTTGCTTAGACAGTCAGATGCTTTAACAAGATTTCCTGAAGGCTTGATACACATACTTTTCTTTGTGTGTGTGTGTGTGTATTTAGGTTTACCTCTGGCACATGTTAAGAACTATATCAGCTATCATTATTATCTCCTCCTCCAAGATGATTTTAAGAAAATTCTTTCACAAAACTGACTTGTGTGTTCTGATGTGTGCCTCCACCGGGAGGTCCCACTCGGGTTTGTCTCCTCCACTTCTGAACCTTTCAGGTTCCTAGAGCAGTGACGTCAGTGTCTTGAGCTAATTTGTTTATCATCGTATGTGTTCTTAAGCAGCAAACACTCATTAAATCTCTTCCTACCCTATTAAAGGAAATAAGAGGGTGAACTGGAAAAGAACTTCACAGCACCTCTCTGGGTGCAGGCTGGACAGAGTTACTTTATAGGAACAGTGTGTCTACCTTTCAGGTAAACCAGGAACAGCGCTCACATCTTGGGGTGCTGTGCTGTGACAGAAGGATTTTTAAGTGGCCCAACAGACAGCGAGTACCTGAGCAGGAATTTTCATTCTCTGGCTGGCATCATGGTCTTAAATAGACAGCTGCTTACCCCACAAAGTGGCACTCTTGTCCTCTCATATGGCCTCACTACATCCCTCTTGGTAGAAGTCTTTTGCTTAAATCTGTAAATTATTTTCTGGCCTTGGGTTTGCAATCACTTTCATCAGATGGCATTCTGGGCGGTCTCACCATTTCCTTTATGATCTGATTCTATTTGAAAGCATGCTTGATTTCCATGTTAATTGAATGGATTTCAGCAGCAATTATGAGGGCAACTGGTTAGCAGTAATCTTTTCTTCCCTTTACCTGTCTTTAGGATTATTTCTTATTCAATGGAAAGAAACTAGGTTGATTGAAGTATGAGATGAGTTCTGGGAGTCACGGTGTTCTAATTAAGTGCTCACTAGCTCAGTACTGTAGACTTTTAAACAGCCTACTTCCAGAAAGCTTCCTGTTAAGCATAGATTTCAAAAGGTAAATTTCCTCCTTCACATGCTCATGATTTCATCAAAGATTTTCAATTCACACATAAAACAGTGTCATTGGTTCCAGGGTCCTAGTATCATATGATCCATTTCACAACATAAGTGAAATAAATATAAGAAATTTTGATATTGCAGAATCGAATTCAAGTCGATAATTTACAAATCTTCCATCAAATTGAAGAACAGGGTCAGGAACCTCAGAAGCACATGTTACTGACTCAGGCCTCTGTTCCGTGAGTTTCTCGTGAGGTGGTTAGCAAGCTGTCGAGTAGAAAGAGTGTCAGCCATCAGCCAGATCAAAAAGAGCGTGGGGGGAGAAACGCCCTGGAGAGACTAGGAACTCCCTTACGGGGGATAACTGGTGCATCACCTGAGGCTGAAATGAAGCCCCTCAGCATACCAAGGGCAACAAGAAATGTCTTACCAGCTGCCATTTATTGAGCAACTTTATGCTTCAGGCATTGCTCTAGGTGCTTTACACCCTTCCCAGCCAACGTGAACAAGAATTGTCTTCAGAAAGGAGACCAGAGACATGAAATCATTGGCCCACGCACCTGAGCCAGGAGTTACACCCAGACCATCAGACGCCAGAGCCTGTGTTTCTTCTTTCTTTTAAATTGCAACTCTCAACTTTTTTTTAACCACAAACTCTATCAGAAAAAGTTGAGCACCAAAACATATACAATATATAAAATAATTTTTATCTATCCTACTTAAGTAAGTAAAAAGTATATACTTTGCAAAATATATCAAAATTAGAATGTTTAAAGGCTTTGGTAAAAAACAGAATATATAATTTTTTTTCCATGAGACTTAGAGTATTTTTTTGTGCCCCCTTCTTTCGATGCAAAAAAATTAGAGCTGCCTGCAATTCTTAGCTCTGCCTGCTGGGGTCAAATTGTTTCACTTCCCTGGGCCTTTATCCAATTATATGTTTGCTGCAGGAGCAACATGCTCCCTAAGCCTTCCACACTTCTTGAGACTGGAGGGGCCGAATAAATAACACCCCACAGATTTGAAACCAGTTGAGAAATCAAAAGTCTGATTTGTTGTTGAAAGAAGCTGAACTGGCTGATGAGGTTCACACATGCAGTGACAGCACCCTGGCCTCTGCACCTCCGACCCCGTGTCGCCCACCCAGGTACAGGCAGCAGAGCAGCCTGACCAACCTCTGAGGCCTGTGGTGTCCTCTTGGGGGAGAGGCTGAGCTCCAGGCAGGGAATCCTTTCTGTACATTGCCCTTCCTCTAGGTGGGTAAGAACAGAGAAGAATGTCACAGTAACTGATGTCCCTCCACCTGGAAACATGCAAACATGCAAACAGGGCAGGAAGCCTCCCCTATCTTCACTCCAAATTCGAAAAACAATTTCTAGATGAAAATCTAAGGCCTCTTTCTGGCCCAGAGGGCCCTGCAGGTAGAAGTTCAGGGTGTCTGGAAACAGGGATTCCTGGTACCTCTCCTCAGGGTGCATCTGTGCAGGGAGGCTCACCTGCAAGGTGAGTGTGGCAGAGCCGATCAGGTAACTGCTGCCTCTGTTCTCACGGCCAGTGCAGACTTCTACTCCAGCCCTCCTTGCTGGACATTTCTTTTTCTTTTTAATTCATTTCTGTCTCATTAGACAGAGCCCCTTCGAGCAGGGTCGTGTCTCATGCCCAGTGCCCAGCACACCTGAGGAGTCCATGTGCATTCATGGGCTGACTGGGAGTCACCCCTCTGAGTGATGTAGCACTTGGACACTCAGGCCCTTCTGGATCTGACTGTACCCTGTGTCTGCCTCGGCCCAACCCTCAAGCTTGTGGTGGCTGGTACTCTGGGAGTGGAGGGCGTGTGTGCTGGAAGCTCTTAGCGCCAGCCTGCCTGCTTCCTTGGCTCCGCCCCATTGGCCTGCTGGGACTGACATTCTCTGGACATGACCGTGTAGTCTCCATCGGCGAAGGCTCTGCTCTGTTGAGGATTCTGAGGGAGCTCTCAGCAAGCCGAAATGTTCACCAGAGCTTGGCAAATGGAGGCAACACGGTTCTCTGCGTTGGACAAGTGTGACGCATGGAGGTGGTGGCTCCCTGGACCAGCTGTCCCCAAGTAAACCAGCCAAACCCAAGCAGAAGGGAAGCAGCTTTCCTGTTCCCCGGGAACTCTCCTCCTCTCACCACCTCCCATCTGCTTGTCACAGGCTAGGAGACATGTGGGCCCCTCGCTCACAGGGAGACACTGGCTTGTGCTGCCACTCACCTTCAGAAAATGACTCAAAGTGCTTGGCCTGGGGGACAGCGTCCACGTTATATTGAAAGACGACAGCGTTAGCATGTGCCTGGCTCTGATAGGCTCTGATACTAGGGGCCAGTCCTGTATTTGATGCTGACTACCCAAGAAATCCTTCCCAGGCATTGGCTCCATGGTGCATTGGCACCTGTCCCCTGGCGTGGTGAGCCACCCTGACCATCAGCCCCATGTCTGAGGGAAGCTGCAGTTTGCCACCTGACGATGGCTTGAGGCCACCAGGACTGAGAACCAAGGTGGAGTTGTGGTGCTTTAGAAGCATGAAGGAAGCATCTAGGAGTCTCTGCTCACTTATCAAGGACAAAGTCAAGTTAGGAAGGCTCATCACCCAGTTATTAACCTGTCCTGTGTGTTTCTTTTGTCCTTCGGCATCTCATGATCCTGTTTCAATGTGTCATGTCACTCGCCACCATGATGGTCCACAGTGTCTCACCCAGATCCTTCTGGCCACTCCCTTGAGCCAGTTCCCAGAGGGAGGGGGCAGTTCAGGCAGCAGCCTCACCCTCCAGCACATCCCCCATGACCTTTGTCTGCATAATTCATTGAGAGGAGAACGTTGGAAGCCACTGGCACCCCAACAACACCATTGCCAATGTGCTTTCTCCCCAAAGCGCTGTGCCACATGCTGCCTTCTGGTTCTGTTTATTTCAGTCAACAGGCAACACTGAGGAAGCTGATCTGGAAACTGATCTGTCAGGTGCTGTGCTGGTCCTGGAAGATGCCTAAATCCCTGCTTCTAGGGAGCTCCTGGTCTCTCTGTGTTTATGCTTCCATTCTGGAGATGGCCAGTTGCCACATTATCAGGGTAGCTTGACTAAGGCAACATTTACCTTAGTGTCTGCTGTGTAGAGCACAGTGCCTGGTATGCAGTAAGCATTAATTAAAATGTGTTCATTTAATTTTTAACAAGTCAGAAGGCTGATTGGCCGGGGAGGACCTTATATTTGGAACAAATGCATTACATTTTTAGTGCTTAAGTTTACTGAATGCTTTCACCTAAATTGTCCCATGTCATCATTATCATAAACCAGTGAGGTAGGTGTCATTTCCATTGTACTGATGAAAAATGAAGCTCAGGTAAACTGAACTTGCCTGTGGTCACAAAGGCAGCAAATAGGACTGTGATTTGCACCTGTATCTTTGTTTCCGAGACCAGCCCCCTCTCCTCTGTGTCAGAGCCACCTCCCTTGAGGGGGTAAGTAAGGGCGGTCAGCTCGGTTTCAGCTGGAGCACAGATGGATTAGGGCGGAGGCCCTTGCGCATGTTGGTGCTCTATCCCGGCGCCGGCTTACAAGAACGCTCTCCTGTGACGGGCATGCCCCTTTCTCCCTCTGGTGTCATGGGCACCTTTGGGGTTGGGTTTTGCCCATCTTCATTAAAGGCAAACCACTGTATTGCCCTGTTTCTTAGTGGCCATTAATCATTGGATGTGTAAGTGGTGTGTAGCAGGGGAATGTATTCATAGTTGAGTGCCTTGAAACAGACTCATGTTTTTTTGCAGCTTGCCAAGAACATTGGGAATGCAGGTTTTAATGAGATCATGGAGTGCTGCCTTCCAGCTGAGGACTCGGTCAAGCCCAACCCATGCAGTGACATGTAAGTATGGGACTAGCTGTTCTTGCTTTCTGAGCAAAGGCTGGCCTTGTACCCAAGCCCCAGAGAGCTGGGCAGTGACAAGTTCAGAGTACATCAGTCGTTGCTTCTTTAGGGAGTAAGTCAGCCCAAGGTGCTTTTTTCTCTTAAGTCACTTGATTCTTTTTGGGTGTCCAAATAGAAGTTTGGTGTGGCTATTTTTCTTAGGAAGAGGCCGCAGGAGGCTCTGTCTGTGAAGGCGGTGCAGTGAGTTTCCGCCTCCGCTGGTGGTGTGCGGGACACCCTTGCCATCTGCATAGGGCAGCGCGGGCACTCTCCTGTCTTAGTCTCGGCATGAATTCTGAGCCTCTGAGAGGGTTCATTAGTGGTTGGCTGTCGTAGATACATGGATAATTCTCTTTCCCAGTGTCCTTGCAAATGTGGCATTGTTTCCATCAAAGTTTTGTTTCTGTTGCACTGTTGACATAAAACCTAAATGAGAATCTTATGTGCCTCATGCGTCCAGCTGGCACATTGAGGCAGAGCTTAATGGTAGGGGATTTTCCTGCCAATCTTACCAAACAAAGCGTAACTTGCCCAGATTGCACTGATTTTTGAGAGCGAGGTGGCTGGGAGGCTGACCTGTCAGGGCAGTGCACTCCCGTCCCTCTTTAGACTTCAGCCCTGTTAGGTGTGAAGGGCCTGTCTGCTTGCAAGAGAGCTGGGGGTGCAAGCCACCGTAGTATGCTGCCAAGTGAGGCAGCCGGAGGAGGGCAGAGGGGATGGCCCGAGGCCAGGTCAGAGAGACAGCGCCTGCATCTGAGTGCTGAGTTGGGTCAAGTATTGGGGCAGGAAAGGGGGAGATGAGAAATATATGCTAAGAGTAGAAGAATTCATTTATAAGGAAGCTTTTCCCTTGGAATAAGCCTGAGATGGAATTGATGGCACCAGTTCTCTAAAGGACACTGGGCGAGGAACAACGAGCAGAGGCTTTAGGGGAGGTTTTACATACAGGTGGTGGTATACGGGCCCTTTGCAAAAGCAGAGAATTTAGATCTTTGTGACCATTTTCAGGGATCTTGAGAAAGCTAAGATTGCAGGGTCGGTGTTCTTTGGTGTTTGGGTCAGCTAATTGAGAAGAGTAGGAATGAGCGGGCACCCTGTCCATCCTGCACCCTCATGGGTATCGGTGTCTGCAGGGAGCTTTTCATGTTTGAGCCCTGTAGCAGACGTTTGTGGTGTCGCATTTCCATGAGAATGATAGGGTGTGGTTTTAGATGCCAGGCACGTGGCTTACGAGGTTATTACCTTCTCTGGATGCAGGTCTGAGATGCAACTCTGTTCTTACCCAGACCTGGAGAGGCAGTAAGGGACATAAAAACCCCATGCCTTATCCGATGGTGGGACCTGGGTAGATTTGATAACTTCTCAGGGCCTTTCCTCTAATATAAACAGGGAAATCCCCACCTCACAGAGCCATGGGACATCAGTGGGATCATGAGGTAACATGGGCCATACTTGGCATGAACAGCTCTGCCTGCTCGCCATGGTCTGGGCCATAGAAGCTCAGCTCCGTGCACTGCTTCCACAGACCCTGAAATGCTAGGGTCCCCTCAGCTTAGGTTTCAGTTAGAGAGTTACCCGGGGGTGAGCCAGCTCTTCCTGGGATAGCTGTAAGGTCCTGTTTAGTAAGGGAAACTTCACAGTCCAGTATAGTGGGCTTATTTACTGTTACAGACACCTGCTGTCATGGAGAAAGTGCCAGGGCTCTGAGATACTGATCAGTTTTGAACAAAGTGTATAATGAATAATTTCTTCCCAGTACCAAGGATCCTTTCAAAAGCAGAGAATTTGTTTATTCTGAGGCTAGATGATTATAAAAAATAAATACTGTCTGCTTGGAATCATTCAGTAGAAATGCATAAATGTAAATGCTTTGAGACGCTTCCCCCCACACCCGTGGCACAAATGGAAAGGAACCTTACCCCTCCCCATCTTTGGCAAAATGCCACCTACTTTCACAGCTCCTCAGTTGGAATTAATCACTGGGCTCTGTGCTCCTGTGGCATTCAGCTCTATTTTAAAACATTTCATTCCACTTTATGTCAGACCCAGGTGTTTATGTATATTTTTATAATAAATTGCTTCCTACTCATTTTGGTATTTCCCACTATAGTGTGTGCTTATGGTGGTTCAGTACATATTTAATTAATCAGCAAAGTCAAGATAAAGTCCCACCTCTGTTTCCTTTATAATCTAAGATTTTACTTCCAGATGAAAAGAAGCATTGTTTCTGGCTTTATCTCAAGACGGCATTCCGCCTGCAGATATGTCTGTGGAAGGAAGAAGCCAAAGACTCTCTAGGGGCCTGTGAACACCCAGACTTTGGGTTTTATGGGTGTCGAGAGGTATAAGCAGTCAGGAAGGGATGCAGCCAGATTTGTATCTGCTTACGGAGGCACAACTGTTCTCTTCTGCAATTTGGGATGCTTCTCCAAGCCCTGTCCTATGGGAATAGAAGCAGCCTCTCCTGACCATATGCCAAGTGCATTGTTATACTAAGTTCATCGCTTTTTTCCAAAAGCCTAAGCCTTTCAAAAAAAAGGGACTAAGAGGAGGTCTCATTGGCAGAGTAAACTTCCCTCACAAAGCTGGGGAGTGTGGTATCACAGATTGGTGCCCCTGCTTGTGTGGGGTCAACCTTCATGGGACACAAAGCCCTGGACCCATTAATAATATGTTAAAAACATAATTAAAAGATCCAGTTTATCTCTAGCCCCTTCCTGGTGAGGGTGTTGTGGGGGGGGGGTGTCATAGTGATGATTGTCCCACAGTGATTATTCAAACTGCCTAGAACTTGACAACCATCCAGTCCAGACACCTGTCAGGAACCCATGGAGTTTCATGTGAATCATCAGACGGTTGTCAGATATCGCGTGTCAAGCCTGTACAGTCCCTGAGCCATCTCTGGGCATCATGCTGTGCCAGGAGGCCCTGCCAGTAGAGCTGAGATTGCTCAAGGGAGCTTACCAGCTGCTTAAGGAAATAGAATTTAATGTCGCCTCAATGAACTTCTGTTTACTTATCTGCAAGTTGCAAGTTGGAGATGAAAAACAGTCGACAGCATTGTGGTGTGGATCAGATGAGTCAGCCTATCTCAGCTCAATGCACAGGCCCGGGAAGGGTAACATGGAGGTGACATGTGAGAATGCATCACAGCTCGCGCAGAGTCTGTGTGCATAAACACCCAGGTGCTGGATGTGTTAGGTGACTTAATCAGAGGTATTTCTCTCTGGGGTGGACTCTTGCCACACCCTGGAGGCCTGGAGTTGGCCTGTCCACTCCCCAACTTTGGTGTTCTTCAGCCAGGTCCCCCGTGGTGGTGATGTGAGGGGCTTGGTAACTGACTGTAGTAAAGCAGATGCAGTTGGCACAGCCCTGATGCAGGGCTGCCATGAGCAGTGACTGAGCCAAGGAGGGCCAACCAGGTTCCCCTTGCCCTGTGCCGCCATTAGCCCTGTCTTCTTTCCCTGTTATGGTAACTCCATCTGGTTTCCAGAAGTCTGTGCTAAATACTTAAATGTTCTGTCTCATTTAATCCTGTGACAGCCCTGTGCACAGCCTTGTCTAGGGAGGGAGGCTAACAGAGGTTGAGTAGCTTGCCCACAAGTCACCCAGACGGAAGCGTCGGGGCCGCTTTGAGATCCAGCCATCCGACCGAGAGCCTGGCTCTCCCTGCATGCTCAGACTGAGCCACAGGCTTCTTTGGCTCCTTCCAGGTTACTCCCTCTCCCATTCCCTGGAGAGGTGGAGTCTGTGAACACATTGCCACATAAAGGCCAGAAAGTGGACGTCAAGGACTGGCGGTTCATTTGGGTCCATCAGACATGTAGTGATACCTTTTCTGCCAGGTGTGGTGCTCATAAACGAGAAGATGTAGTCTTTGCTCTGGAGGGGCCTGCAGCCTCCATAACCTGGCCAGGGCAAGGCCCCCGGACCCCCGCACTGGGCCTGATGCCTCTTGTGTTGGAAGCTCGTATTTCAGTGCTTCTTGAAAGTGTTCCAAGGAGTCACAGTGAACGCAGGCCCTGCAGCAGAGTCACACGGCAGCTCGTGTCCCCGCTCCAGGTTTTTCGGCCAGTGCTTCCTATGAGGAGGTGTGGGCAGGGTTTTTTTAAAAGTTGTTGTAGATGATTGAAGGTTAGATATGTTTAAAGGAGGCACTTAATCATTTACAGGGCAATTATGTTTGATTTCAGGAATGTAAGAAAGGACTACATTACTGCCAAGTACATTGAGAGGAAGTATGCAAGGAAAAAACATGCGGATAACACGGCCAGACTTCACAGCCTTTGTGAGGCCGTCAAAACGAGAGATATTTTTGGATTGCTCCAAGCGTATGCCGATGGTGTGGATCTTACAGAAAAAATCCCACTGGCCAATGGACATGTAAGAGTGTGGCTTGCTACTTTAAAAAAAAAAGGGTGTTGGTGAAGTGGCAAGGCAGTGTAACGAGAAATGCCAGCAGCGTAGTTCTCTAAAAGAAAACATCACTGAGTTCAGGGAGAAGAAATGGGTGGTTTCTTCTTAAACAAAACACGTAGTACCAGATCTGGAAAGTAAGCCCGTTCCCTGGGGGAAGGGAGCAGCTTCTCAGTGGCCCAGGCAACCTGCAGGAAGACCGACCTGCTTCCCACGAGAGCTGTGGTGCCCCCCTACCCCAGGCACACGGGGAGCTCAGCAGCAGCCCCGAGGCCACACTGGGAGGGAGAGTTCTGATAGCCCTTCAGCCTGAGCCCCCCACACCCACCTTCTAAGGGAGCAGGAGTGCAAGAGACAGGATCAGGTCCACAGGAAACAACCCAAGTGTCACAAGTCGGTGTGTGTCCTAATTCTCTACCACATGCCCTTGTGGACTCACACATGTATTCCCTTGAAATCTCTTTACCCTTGAATAAAGCTGCCCAGAGCTAGGATTGCCCCTTAGCAGCTGAGCACATTCTATGGAGCCTTAATGTTCAGTGTCTGAGACTAAGAAGGTGAGAGAGGGGACTCAAGCCATGGTGGGGTGGGGCACACTCGGCTCTGTGCTGTGCACAGCCTGAGGACAGGTGTGGCCCCGGCCAACAGAGAGGCTGGGCAGGCGGAAGGGACAGTGCCTTCCTCCGTCCACTGTCCCCCGTCCATGGATATTCCCTCTGCCTCCAGCTCTCCCACCCACCCATCTACCTGAAGCAACACTCGTTTGGTCTCTCCCCCACCTACCAGAACTTCCTTTCAGAAAAGGCAGTGGTAATCACGTGCCCCTAGTATGAATTGAAGACAGTCATGTTTTAGTATTGATGGCCTTCCATGTAAGTATAGAATGAAGAACTTAAACCCTGTTTTCAGAATAAACACTTAATGTTTACTCAGAGAGCAAGAATAAGAGACTCAGGCACAGGAGGCCTGGGGAGCCTTCCTGGGGTCATGGAGCTGAGGCCCCTGCTTACAGAGAGCACCTCATGCTGCTGGTGCAAGAACTGGGACATAAGGCTGAGGCGACTTTTAAAGGAAACCCCTGAATTCCTCGTTTCCCATCAAGTTAGGAACAGGACCAGTCTCGAAATTGCGGCTTCCTAAGGGCAGCAAGTTTGCCATGGAGATGAACAGGGCCCTGTATGTCTGAGAGAGAAGTTTATTGAAGGAAAGAATAAAAGGCTTTTAGAAGAAGGATGCATAACCTCACTCACATTGGGCACGGAATTGATGGCTCCTGGGATTCTGGGATGTTTTTGTTTGGTCTTCAGGAGCCAGATGAAACCGCCCTCCACCTCGCAGTCCGATCTGTGGACAGGATGTCTCTTCACATCGTAGACTTTTTAGTTCAGAACAGGTAGGTGTTCTAAAGGTAGGGGAGGCATTTGACTTAGTTCCTTGGTGTTTCTGCAGAAGGAATCAGGTGTGCCTCATTGTTTCAGTTGTGTGTTTTCTAAGGTCTAAACATGAATTAAGGACAGGAAAAGCACTACCAGGCCCGGGCTGCCAATACAATCCTAAGAAAGTCCTGGAAGGAGAGGAGAGAGACCCTTTGCAGTATCTGCAAGATTCAACTTACTGTGTCTGGGTCTCAGCAAGATACCATGTCGATACGTCTGATGAATTCTGGGCCCCTGGGAAGCAGACTGTGTCTCTGACCCCCATGACCACTCTCTGTGCCATCCTCAGACTTGTCCCACAAGACCCAAGCAGGGTACCCTGAGCAGAGGAGAGAGCTAAGAGGTACTCAGAGATCAACACTTCAGCCACAAGCCTAAGCTGAGATTGTAACCCACAGCACTAGGTTGTAGCATTTTGTTTGGTTTGCACATTTTTACTTTTTAATTAGAAGTTGCCTTTGGAGAGCAGGTGCACATGTAGAGTGGCCCAGCCCCTGCAGTACCCTTGTCCCTTGTTCCATGCGTCCTGCCTTACTTGTGCATTGCCTACCTAACAGCAGAGAGCTGGAGGTGAAGACCTGTCAGAGTGTACTTGACCTGCTTGTGGTTTAGGGGTGCACTGGAGGGGGCAATGCAGGTTAAAAGCCACTGAAATTGCTCAAATGTAGTGGGAGTTGCCTCGTGCAGAAGCAAGGTGGTAATTTGCATGTCTGCCTTTTCCTGCTGGCCCTGGGGGAGGGGAGAAGAAATGGCATGGGTAGCGGATCTTGGGGCAGGTCAGCTCCCTGCCCTGGGGTCAGCGGTTTGCTGGACTCACCATGGAAGCCACAAGGGTGGCCCTGTGCTCTGATGGAGCCTGATGCCCACCCAGTGACTAGAGCGCCACAGGGCCTCAGCAAACAGTGGATTAAACAGATGAATGCTGCCACCATGCCTCAGTGTAAATTCTCAGAGGGCAAGAGAAGGGAGAACAGAAGGAGTTCAGCAGGAGAGAGATCACAAAGTAAGGCTTATTTGCACGCTGAAAGCGTAGCAGGTTCCATCCTGATGGGAGCAATGGGCATCACCTCTGGTGGCCACCCTCTTGTTCCCACTTGTCTGTGCAGAGAGCACGAAGCCCTGCTGTCCTTCCTCCTCAGAATCAGGGCTGCCTCTGCCTGTAGGGCCAGTAGTTTGCCTCACGTCGGAGAGCATGAGTGCCTTTTCTGGGATAACCTGCTCCTGTTTTACACTGGGAGCACTTCTGAAATCTTCCGATCCCCCCTTAGGCCTATTTCACGGCAGTCCAGGGCAAACAAGCTCAGAGGGGAGCTTTAGGGCTCTGGATTTTGGAAAAGTGGCTTTTCCCCTTCCTGGTGAGAGTGTCAGTGAAACAAGCTTAATGAAAAATGCCCACCTCGTCCCAAGTCATGCAGGCTTCTGGGTACTGAGAAGCAGGAGGGATGCTCTTGGCCCCGGGGGAGGCAAGACGCAGCCCCTTGGCCCTGCTCAGTAGCAGCACATGCCTCTTCCTTCAAGGTTTCTCTGCCCTTGCTGCCGTTAGCTCCCCGACAGTGCCACGTCCACAAGCAGGGCTGGTGCTGCATCTCACCCACCTTGTGGGGGATTGGGAGAAATCCTCCTCTTGTGGTTCTGACTGCTTGGCGCGCCTGCCTGTGCTGCCCCCCGGCCTCTGGTGACTCACTTTCTCTTTCTACCCCCGCTCCGGCCAGTGGGAACCTGGATAAGCAGACAGGGAAGGGCAGCACGGCGCTGCACTACTGCTGCCTGACGGACAACGCCGAGTGCCTCAAGCTCCTCCTGCGGGGCAAGGCCTCCATTGAGATAGGTGAGCCGCTTCTTGTCTCCTGTGTGTAGCTCCTGCACTGCTGCGGGGCCCTGGCCGGGGCTAGGGGAAGCCCTGCCCTTGAGAGGGGGCCTCTGTGCATGTTCTGAGCAGCAGCATGGCGCATCCTCACCAGCACTTCTCCATCACTCAGAAGCACTTTAAGGGTTGTGAGAGGCAGAGGGCAGGCCCTGCAGCTGTCCCTGATACAGAGGGGAACGTGGACAAGGTTTGGGGCTTCTCACCCACCTGGAACCAGATCTAGCCTCTTCCTGGCTCCAGGTTGCAAGGTTTCTGGTGGGAGACTATTTACTGCCCTCCTGTCATTGGCACCCAGTCCCTTCTGAGAGGGACCCCTTGATCTTTGTGGCCTTCATCCATCCCTCTACCCTGGAGCCGTGCCGTACTGACCATCAGCCAGGCAGCCTAGCCAAGGGCACCAGCTGGGATTATGTCAAGGGGAAGTGTTTTTGAAGAACCATTGAGCAGATAGTAAAGAGAGCAGAAGAAAGCAGCACCTGCCTGAGCCGAGTTTCTTGTTTAAAAAGTAATAATCAAACCTTGTTGTCTGAGGCTTATTTAGAAGAAAAAACGCAATTTCAGGTTACATACTGCTTAAAAAGAGGTGTAAAGTTGATTATAATTGGGTGCCAGGAACTAGATTAGCAGTCTTCTTGGTTAGAGAATTATGGTGGCTGCTTTATGCAATGACCTGTAGTTTGCATATTGATTTTTATTTGTTTTCATGATTAACTCAGACCTTGTGTTAAAGGTCTTACTGACTGTATACTGCTGCAGGTCCATGCAATTACAAGACAAATTCAAACCCAGCTAAGTCAAACTATCTGGATTTCATTAGTCACGTTCAATTTACTTCAGTGCTGTTTCAATGTATCTCTTTTTAACTGCCATTCAATGTCAGGCTTTTGCTTGTTTTTGCCATAACATGGCCTCTTGTTGTCCTGCCTTTTAGCTAATGAGTCAGGAGAGACGCCGCTGGACATTGCCAGGCGCCTCAGGCACGAGCGCTGTGAGGAGCTGGTGAGTCTCCTGGGTCAAACCTGGCCTGCCCCCATGAGGACCACCTCTCTGAGCCCCATGGCATGGGTCCCGGTGGGAAGACTTGGAGAAAGTGTAATGGGGAGTCTCTAGAGAGGAGGTGACCACCACTCTGACAGTCACACTCAAGCAACCCAAGTCAGTATTTGCTGGTTGGCCATGTTGGTAGCAGCCTGTGTGATCTGGGGCTGTGGAGCAGAGGCCAGGAGGTTGCCACCACTTTGGCTATTCTCTGGAATCTATGAGCTGTTGGCTCACCTCTATGTAGAAGCTCGCCACAGCTGGACTTCTGGTTTTATTCCCTATCCCCAAATCATTGGGGTCATTCTGCACCATATTTTCCCATTTTAGAAGAAGCAGCAGGGTGGCCAGTGGACAGAGCCCACCAGGTCAGGCAGATGTGGGCTTGCAGAATGCTGTGACTTGGCAAAGTTAGGCCAGCTCTTTCCACTGGGACTCCCTGATTTGTATGGTGAAGTCAGCTCTATCACTGTGCAAGGTTGTGGCATAATTATTGTTGAGCTCTGTAAAGCAGTGGGCACATAGTAAGTGTTCAATAAGTACAACTATTCATAGTGACTGCTGAAGACATGTAGGTTAAGTAACAGGTACTAGTCTAAGCACTTTAATCTTGATAACTACCTTATCCCATGGTTTCTACTACTATCCCTATTTTACAAATGAGGAAATAGGCACAGAAGGGTCAAGTAACTTGTCCAAGGTCACACAGCTGCTCTCTGGCTATGGAGAAAATTAAGCTTTAATGGGTGCTAAGACACCCATTTTATCTAATGAATTAACTTTTCACCTAAGCAATCTAGAATGGAATTAGCTATCTACATTCCTTGAAAAAATAGTTGTCCACATCATTCTCTCATGCTGGTCAAAAACGGCTGGGTTAACATTTAGTGGACACGTTTATTCTCCATAGGTTGAGTTTGTGTCCGTGTGCAGTTGCTGGTACCCACAGGCTGACCGTCATCCTTTGGATCTCATATATCCCTTGCCTGCACACAGTAGATGTACAAAGCACTTAATGGGAGTTATCAGGTTTGAGTTTCAAGGTCATTTGTGAATTAGGGAGAGGGTCTTAACCTGAGACCCAGAGATTTAAATTGGCTGGACTTGAACGAGGGTGCGATATCTCTGCCTCCCCAGCCAGGGGTCCTGACCTCCCTGTGCCACTGCCTGCTGTCTTTTGTATGACTGGGGAGATGCCCGCTGCAGGTGGCTGAGTGCCTGAGCAGCATCACCGACAATCTTTTGTTCTTCTCAGCTGACCCAAGCCTTATCTGGAAGGTTTAATTCCCATGTGCACGTCGAATATGAATGGCGATTGCTCCATGAAGACCTGGATGAAAGTGATGATGATGTGGATGAGAAATTGCAGGTCTGTGCCAGGTTGTAAAACGTTAGGAGTTTTATGACAAGCTTCATTCAGAGCAATGTGGGCCCTAGCCTGTAATCAGAGCAGAAAGCTGTTTTGTAGAAAAGAAAGAGTTTTCTTTTTGCTTCCATAGATATCAGTAGGTTTTGGTTTCAAACTTCCCACAAACTGCCTCCTATCTCCCAGCTCCTCTACATGTTAATATAAAGGGCTTTGAGTTATGTAATCATAGGTAGCTGCTTATCTTTTGTATGAAGGAAAGGGCCTTTGACTGCTGGGTTTTAGAGGAAGCTCATTCACTGTGGATGTTGCGATAAGGAGCCAGGTTTCCCCCAGTATTGGTGATCATGTTCACCTAGCTGATCTTACATCCTCAACTGAAATCCTAAACAGACCCTTAGAGCGTGTTGGTCCAACTCTTTCCTTTATCAGATAGGGTCGCTGAAGCCTCAGGAGAGATTGACTTCTTGCAGTGACATGCTATTGAAAGGCCATCTGGGTCAGGCCCGAGAGCATTTGCCTCAAGTCCAGCTCCCTTCTGATGACACTCTTAGCACACTTGGGGTCCCCTGGAAGGCTGCCAGCTGAACACCAGTCTCAAGCTGAGAGGCAGAATCAAGCAGACAGACTCCAAAGCCCACACTCCCAGCCACTATGAAATTAATGGGGAATGTCATGTAAAGTTTTTTATTTTTGTGGGACTTTAGTAACCTGATGTGTATTGAGGATGTCTAGCTATATATGTATATATATGTGTGTGTGTGTGTGTGTGTGTGTGTGTGGCATTTCTGAAGCCTATTGGACTATCCTTGTTTATGGAGCAGTTAATATCTATACTTACTATTTCTTAGAATAAGAAACTTCTTCACTAAGTCAGCTATAAAGTGTTATCAGTGGGAGAAGAGCTGGCTCCCTTTATGCTTACCTACCTTAAACAGAGGAGGAAGTGTGAGCAGCTGCCCCAGAGTGGTGCCTCCTCATCAGGCACTTGCCACATTCGTCAGGGGCAGCGACTCAGCAGAGGGCACAGACCACGTGAGAATCCCCAGCACGCGCTAACACTCACCCACTGACTCTGGGCAGCTCACAGGGCCCTGGGTGATGTTAGACTTTAATACTGTGTGTGAAGAGCCACCAGCCATACATTCTGCACACCTGAGCTGGACTTGATCGTCTCATTGGCCAGAGCCTCGACTGGGCAAGTGGTCCTATGAGGGGAGGGTGGGTGCAACAGCTGATGCTGATGCCTGCCAAGCTCCTGACACTGTGCTAGACAAGCAGTTACAGTTGTACCCATTTAACAGGTCAGCCAGGATAAGCAACTAGGTCAAGGTCATAGCTGTTATAATGAAGCTGACATTTGAAATGGAAATTAGATCTAATTTCCCTGAGTCATGATTCAATACACATGACTGTTAGGTGGAAAAAGGGTCAGCAAACTCTGAAAGGGCCATATAATATTTTAGGCTTATGATAAGTCTTTGTTGCAACTACTTAGCTCTGCCAGGGTGACTTGAAAGCAGTCATAGACAGTATGTAAATGACTGGGCATAGCTGTATTCTAATAAAATTCTATTTATAAAAATAGGTGATGGCCCAGGGGCCATGGTTTGTTGACCCCTGAATTAGAGGAATTTCAAGAGTTCCAGTTTGTAATGGAAAGAAAGCATTGATCTGCCCTGAATTCACTGCTTAGCTGTTGGGGATCAATGGCAGCTAGGTGCCCAGAGCGGCTGTACTGTTCTGTCATCTAAGAAATCATGTATGTGAAGAGAAATATCATGAAAATGCAGAGCTATGTTTCAATCATTCTGCCTAGTAAAGGTGAAATAGCTTGTTTTAAATCCTTCACAGAATGGAGAATTGTAGATTATAAGTCATGGCTTTTTGGGGGTGAGTGTATGTGTTTCCACTAAGTGACATAGACTGAGCTGTAAGTTGCAGCTCTCATGTGACAGTTGAGAGCCACAGACGCACCAGGCTGTAGAAGTGGGGTATGAGAAGTGGTCACCAGCAGACTGAACGCTGTGACCAGGAGGTCAGTGTGTCTGCATTTCACACCCCTCTGCAGCCCAGTCCCAGTCGGCGAGAAGACCGGCCTGTCAGCTTCTACCAGCTGGGGTCCAACCAGCTGCAGTCTAATGCCGTGTCTTTGGCCAGAGATGCCGCCAGCCTGGCCAAGGACAAACAGAGGAGCTTCATGCCCAGCATCCTGCAGAACGAGACGTATGGAGCCATCCTGAGCGGCAGCCCTCCGCCCACGCAGCCTGTGGCCCCCAGCAATGCCAGTGCCCCCCCACTCCCCCCGAGGAACATTGCCAAAGGTACAGAGTTGTGGTGGCCCTGCCAGTGCACAAGGGCTGTTGTTGGGGTTTTTCTTGGGGAAGTTTGGTCGCCTTGCCCCCAGACGACACCTGAGCCGGCATCAGGATGGTACTTTCATCTGGTTCTTCTGTTTTATAGTTAGATTGTTTACGTCCTAAAGTAATTCCCTTCTGGGATGATGAATGGTGGTGGAGTATCTTGACTCTATTCTTGTTCTGGGCAGAGGGGTGGCATCTGTGTGATTCAGGGAATGCGGGGATGCCACCATGTAGGCCTGAGATGATGGGCCCACTCACGACGCTATTCCCTGAGGTGTTTCCTGCACACCTTCGGTGCCTTTCCTTGCTTCTCACTGCTCACAGCCCCTCCCTTAGCCTGCATCCTTTCCTTGTCTGTTTCTCCCTGGCCTGTACTTGCCAGTGTGTGGCACCTGGGATTATTTCTTATCTCCAGGTTCCCCATGAAATGAAAGATAAAAGGATGCTAATTTGAGGAACTGTGCTCAGCCTAATTATAAAATGACAAAGCAGTTCCTGTGGGTCTGCTCCTGAGGGTATGATTCAGTGGCCCAGGCAACAGGCTCATCAGCCTACTTTTGGCCTCGCTGAGTGCCAGGGTCTGCGAGGCACCCACTGTGAGCACAGACCTGGTGTGATGTCACGCTGCTGCAAGTGCGCACCGCCACCCACTTCCGCTGCCCTCCCGGAAAGCAGCCCTGCTCGCAGGCAGTCTGCGCCCTGGCTCTGTGACCACCAGCAGTCCACAGCCCCTGTGGCACCTGGACAGCATGGCCTGGCAGGCTCCTGTCCCGCCTTTCTGGGGAGCCTGGAGTGCCACAGCTTGCTGCACTCACTCACAACATACAAGTGGGACTCAACAGGAGCTGTCATTTGTTTTTATAAAAATGGAAACTGAAACCCCCCAAAGTCAAGTAATTTGCCCAACACTGAAGACCGGCTGGCCATTGTCCTCCTTGAAGAGAGGTCCAGCGAGTGGCCAGCTCCTCTCTGGGCTGGGGTTGCCGGCGGGGCCAGTGGCCTCCAGAGGGCTTCCTGTGGGAAAGTAGGGCAGGAGCCTGCCTGGCCATGCTGTCCGGGCGCTACAGGGGCCGGGGGCTGCTGGTGGTCCCAGAGCCAGGGCGCAGATGGCCTGCGAGCAGGGCTTTCTGGGAGGTCAGCAGAGGTGGGTGGTGGTGAGCACTTTCAGCAGCGTGCCATCACACCAGGTCTGTGCTCACAGTGGGGCCGGGCCCCTCTACCGCTCTCGCTCCGGTGCCTCGCAGACCCTCCCGTGCAGCTCTGCCCCTGGCACTCAGCAAGGCCAAGAGAAGGCCGATGAGCCTGTTGTCTGGGCCACTGAATCATACCCTCAGGAGCAGACCCCCAGGAGGAGAGCAGGTGCACACCAGCTAAGCCCCCGAGGTAGCCCACTCGGCTGCCCCGCAGTTCCCACCGCACCAGTGCCTGCCTCCCCGGCTGTGCCGCGCCTTGGCTTGATGGGGAGGTCCCTGAGCAGGACAGAGGCTGCCCCTCCTCCCTTGTCATCCTCACCGGGGATGCTGGGGGCCCAGGGCAGCAGCTGTGGTCAGTCCTTGGGGGCCTCACTGCCTTCTCCCAGCTCCTCCCACATCCTGTGTGCATGTATTAACTTTGTCAGTCAGGAGCTAAAATGATTTGGTCACCTCCACTCTCTTTGGTGACTTTTACAGACTCTGTCACATGAGAAAAGGTTTTCTTTTGCTCTGTTGGTTCACATAAAAGGAATGGAACACTGTTCATCTTTATTCTTGTTTTCCTGAGGTCTTAGAATGAGAGGATTTGGGTTTTTTTCCTCCTGTTTCTCTTCACCATTCGCAGGGTCGGCCCCATGTCTTCCTTTGGTGATACAGATGGTGCCTCCTCCCTGCCAGCCGCCCGGAGGGTCTCCCTTGTTCTCTGTCTAGTCTGTACTTGGTTCAGCAGAGTCCCCACACCACAAATAGAAAAGGGAGCCGACGTTGTCATGCCCTGCGCCAGGGCAGAGAAGTACAAAGGCTTCCCCTGGTCCCCAGGGCCTGTCTTTGCCATGTGGCCCATTTCCATCTCCAGGCCTGACCCTCTGTGCGGGCCCTGCACAGCCTCAGACACAGTCACCCTAGTGCCTGAGCAGATGCTGCTCAGGGAGCAAGAGCACAGAGCTTTGTGGGGCAGAAGACTGTGACCAGGGCAGCACCATCTCCCTGAGTGTCACCTGAGCCTGCTGGGTGCCAGCTTAGCCCGCAGATGTGTCAGCAGGAGGTGGGAGAGAGCCTTCCACCTGATGCCTCTGATGTGCACCCGCCCTTCCCCGGGCTCTGTCTTCTTGGGACAGGTTCTCCCTGTGCAAGGCAGTGACCCACACCCCTGGGGGAGGATTTACAGGTGGGAGAGACAAGCGTACGTTCAGGACCCCAAGGGCAGTGCTCAGGACATGTCATTGTCGTTACTCATTTCCCTCTTCAAACCGTATTTATATGTGAGAAGTAAAGTCAGAATGATTGAGAAAAACAGCTAGTAATTTCCAGGAGCATCATTGTTTTGGTGTGTATCATCTCTTTCAGATACCAGAGAGAAGAATTTTTAAAAATCATTCTATTTTTGGTCTTAAGGCTATTCTAGAAGGATCATACCATTTTATAAGAGAGAGGACAATAATGCAGTGTTCTGTTTCTGTTTTTGTTCTGTGCTTGTGCGTGCATGTGTGTGTGTGCGTGTGTGTGCGTGTGCAGTTCAGACAGCCTCCTCAGCTAACGCCCTGTGGAAGACAAACTCTGTAGGTGTGGACGGTGTAAGCCGGCAGCGATCTTCGTCAGATCCGCCAGCTGTCCATCCACCGCTGCCCCCTCTTCGAGTGACATCTACCAGTACGTTGTTTCCTTCTTCCTTCCTTGCCGGTGGGCTTTGTAGATCTGGATGGCTTGGGGGTGCCTTCGGCGGCCACGTGGGGAGAGCGCTGTGGAGCCGCGCGCCCCCTGGTGCAGATACTGCCAGGAGCCCGGCGCTGTGTGTTCCCGCCCCCCACCAGCCTCGCCCCCAGCTGCACACCCGTCTGTTGCACCCCACCTGCGGGGGCCCCTCACTCTCCCTCTGTCTTCCCAACCACTTCGGAAATACTTCCTCCTTTCATGCACTGGCACAGGGCTTCATTCCCTTTGGCCACTTGGTGGTTCTTAATATTTCGGCACAGTCATTTGAATTATGATCTGGTATGTATTTTTCTTCAGTGTCAACATGTGGGTAGAAGTGCCAGAACCCAGGGGAGGGGGCTGGAGCAGGGGCTTTTCTCCTGGGTCGAGGAGGCAGGCCCCCGGTGCCCCTGTGTCCCCCTCCTGCTCTGCTGCTCTGGGTTTGTTTTGAAAGCACTGAGCATTGAGAGAGTTGCCCAGGATTTTCCTGCTCGCCTTCAGAGCAGGGAAGCAGGTCTGGGAGGGTCTTCCAGAGGCTGGGGTGGAGCAAGGGGGGCCCAGCCTGGACACCTCCGAGTCAGACAGCAAGGGGCCTGGCACATCCCCGAGTTGGGGGCACAGCAGGTCCCAGAAGTCCCTGTGCTGCCCGTCGTCTGGGGCTGTAGGTCCGCATGCTGGAGTCGGCATTCTGACTTTTCCTTTAAAGCAGAAAAAGGAAACAAGGAGCCCTCCTCAACCAGTGGCAGGCCTGGGAGAGGAGCCGCCTGCCCCTGGTGTCGTGCCCTGTCCTGAGGCAGGCTGCCGCTGCAGGAAGGACATGAGGCCAAGAAGCTGGACGCTTAGGGAGGGCGAGGGGGCGAAGCAGGGCCCTGAGGTCTAGATCCCTGTCTTAGGCCTGCCGGCTCTGGAACCCTTGGTGAGGGCTCCCGTCTTCGAGTCTCATCCTCCTCGCCTGTGAAATGTAGGAAACGATGAGCCCTTCCTCCTCCCCAACTTCCAGCCTGTGGAGCCTTCACAGTCGGTTCTTCACCACCTCCTGGGAAGTGGCGGGGCCGGGGCAGGACTGCGCCAGACCCGCCTGTCAGCCTCCTGCTGCTCTTTTGCCAGTGTCGGGGTGGAGAGCAGAAAACTGTTGGCTTCCCCACTGCTGAGAAAATACACCTGGGCTCAGAGAACCATTTTACTCCTAACCAGAGGCTTGGAGGGTCTCCCCGCCAATACTTTTTCCTGAAAATCTTAAATGAGAGTAGTTTTTTCCTTTATGAAATATCGACAAGAAAAAAGAAGCCCTTATGGGAAGAGCCTTGGCGAGAAGGCTGGGCATGTTGACACCTGAATTCTGACCCGTGTTTCTCTCCTTTTCTCTCCCCACAGATCCCTCGGCTCCCACACCACCCCCTCCAGTAGCAAAAACACCCAGTGTGATAGAAGCCTTGAGCCAGCAGGGCAAGCCAGCCCAGCCTGGGACCCCACTGAGCAAAGCTGCCCCCCCACCCCTGCCGCCACAGCCACCCAGCCGCCTCCCTCAGAAGAGGCCCACTCCAGGGTAACCACCCCTCTTCAGATTCCTTCCCGGGGCCTGGCCAAATCGGCATCCCCCTGCTTCCTGCCCCCAAGGAACTTCCCAGTGGCAATGGCCCCGTTTATTATTCTGCTGAGATTTCTGTATGAACATCTGAAATTTCCAACATTTCTACCACTGTAACATCTGGAATCAAGTGTTACATAACTAATTCATCAGGCTTCAGGTGTCTTAAAAATAATTTATCAAAAAATTTTAAACTGTAACATTTCATACAAATGCATATCTTATATCCACATAATGAATTTAGATTCTCTTTAGTACAGACACCGGGATTTGGAGTTATTTAAAGTCCTCAGGACACAAGGCCTCTGAGTTCTGTTGCTGACTCAAAAGGTTATTGAGCATACTTGGACCTTCTGCAATGTGGGGCCTGTATTTCCATCAAACAAGGACATTCTCCTTCATAATACAACCAGTAAAATCAGGAAATTAACATGTATACACTACTACCTTCCAGTCTCCAGACCCCATTCAAGTTTATCTACTTGTTCAAATAACACCCTTTACTGCAAAGGGATCCCATCCATGGCTCATAATCTGGATTCTTACCATGGAAAATGGTTCCTGTTAGTGGCAGTGATATTTAGAAGCCGAGATCTGGATGCTTTGTGTGCTCATTGCTGTTGGAGTGTCACTGCTCCCAGACCAGCCCTCTGAGTGGTCAGAACTAGGGATACACACACACATACATAATCATCCATGCATATACACACATATAAACATATTTATATCCCTATCTCTATCTATATTGAAATCCATGAGTTCACACTATCTTCATTTAAATTATTGTAGAAAGAAACCACACCAAACCTTACTGCTAGAAGACACGACCATTTTATTGGGATTTCTGGGGCCATAGCTGAAAAGACTCAAAGGCTGGGTCCGGTTTGACACAGAAAGTGACCGTTCAGCTGCAGGCTGGTATCAGAGGCCTCTGCCCTCCTCTATGGTGGCTGATGCTGGTGTTAGCTGGAACCCCGCCTGCGGCTGTTGGCTGGAGTACTTGCATGAATGTGGCCTCTCTGTGTGATGAGGGCTTCCTCACTTCATGGTAACTGGGATCAGGAACAAGCTTAAGAGATAGGCCTGGCCCTGGAGTCGGGCAGGGCATCATGAAGCAAGATGTTACTGGTCAGGCAGCGGCAGAGCCCAGACTGGGCCAGAGGTGGGGTGGGGGCAGTACAGTGGCACCAGGTGGTCACAGACTCCAGCTCTCAGTAAAGATTTGGGGGCAATGTTTTAATCACATTGTAGGGTTCACTCTGATTCTCTCCCTCTCTGTATCTGTTAGTCCCTCTTCTGATGGTGAGATACCTGGCTCCCCTGTTTACTTGCTTGGTCAGTACCTTAGGAAACATCTCACCTGTCTGCCCCCACCTCCTCTGTGCAGAAGCTGCCTCTGCCTGCTGAGACCTGGGACCCCACATGGAGGGCCTTCCCCAGCCTGCTGGTGCTCTCACTCCCCCACCAGGCCACCCTGTCCCCAGTCAGGCAGATGCCTTCCTAGTCCCACTTGTTCCTGCTCAGGATGACTCCCTAGGCTTGGTCTGTTTTCATCCATGCCACCAGGTACATGATGGGGCCTTTTCAGGATATAAACTACATCATTCAGTTCTCAGAAATGGCATTGATTTTTTTTAATGTCTGTAACTGTTATTTTTTTCTGTTCTTTGAATATAATTCAGACCCCCCCTTGGCCTCTGCTCTACGTGAATCATCTTTTCTCTTTCTACTGGGTTGGCTAAGTTCTCTAGCAGCCTACCACTGAATTTCAGTGCTTCAACATAGGGAGGTTCACTTCTTGCCCACAAAAGGCTGGGTATCCACATTCTTGCTTGTGCAGCAGACCTATGGGGTGAGTCAGAGACTCAGACCTCTTCTGCTTCTGGCTCCACCGTCTTTATCTCCTGGGCCTGGGGTGACTTCCCAAGGGAAAGAGACTGGGGAGGCGAGCTAACCTCTGTGATGCCTCTGCTCCTTTGATGGGAGCCAGTCCCATGGCCCCACCTAGAGGCCAGGGCTGGAAGTGCAGCCCCCGCTGGGCAGCCTGCTCGCTGCGGCTCCATACAGGGGCCAGCTCTGCCGCTTTCTAGTTTCCCTTTCTGGCATTGTTCCTTGCTTACTTGCTTTTTAAATCTACTTTCTGGGAGAGTTTCTCGATTTTGTCTTCCAGTTCTTTTGCTGAGTTTTTCATTCCTGCTGTTAAATAATTTTCAAGTTAATAGCATCTAATTTGTTTCATGGGATCATTTTCTCTCATCGCACATTAATAATGGGCTTGAGAGGGGTGTTCGTTTATTTTATTAGCTTTTGCTTTTCTGCATGACTTGTTTCTTCTATGTTTTTCACTTTGTTTTCACTTCTGTTAGAGGCTTTTCCCTCAAGTCTGGGGTTCTCTACCTGTCTAATGCTGCTTTACAAGGTCTTTTTCTAAAATAAAACATCCGTGTCCTTGCCTTGATGTTTTTAAACAGCGTGAACAAAACCTGATCAGTTCCTGAGTTAGGCTGTAAGGACTATGCTCTCAAGTCAGTGTTAAAGGGCTGCAGGCTGTGCCTGTCTCTCTCTCAGTTCCTGCGGTCTGTGCCATGCTTCAGCTTGCTTCTTGTCCCTTGTGACACCCTCAGATTCACTTCTTCTGAGCTGCTGTAAGAGACCGAACCATGCGTTGAAATTCTTGATGGGACCCAGCTGGTGCCGGCAGCCACTGGGGAGCCCTGAGATCTGTGGGTGCTGTGCCACATGCCAGGCCCATTCTGTCCAGCTACTCAGTGGCCTCCTGCTGCTCCCTTGGTTCTCAGGACTGAGTTCTCACTGGGCTGCCAGATGAGTGCCCTCTCCAGGACAGTCCTGCCTGGTTATCTCTGTTCCATGGAACCAGTGCCTCTCATCTCCTCTGGCTGAAAGGAGCAGTGGGGAGAGGCAAGCAGATGATGTTGGGGTCGCTCCAAGATAAGTTTGGGTGGATGGAAGCATGTCGTCACCGCTCTCTTTTCAAGAGATTCACCAGAGTGTCCTCTTTGTACAGGAAGCACCCCACCCCTCTGTGTCCCGGGTGCAAATCTGGAATTTCACATGTGTTCTCTTGAGCAGGAGTTGGCAGACCTTGCCCACAGGTCAGATCCAGCCTACCGCCTGTTTTGTATGGCCCATGAGCTAAGAATGGTTTTTTATTTTTAAGTGGTCAGAAAAAAACAAAAGAACAGTATTTCATGACGTGAAAATATATGGAATTCAGATTTCAGTGCCCATAAATAGTGTTACTGGAACACAGCAATGCTTGTTGGTTTGCGCATTACCTATGGCTGCTCTCACGCAGTGGTGGCTGTGTTGAGTAGTCACATCATAGACCTTATAACCACAGGGCCTAAAACGTTTACTGTCTGGCCCTTTAAAGAAAAAGGTTGCTGCCTGGTGTCTTAAGAGTATCAGGCTGTCTCGTGAGCCTCTGCAGCCGGGTGGCTGACGGTGAGGGGGCCTACAGTCGGCATGATTTCTGTCTCAGCACTGCCGGGAATCAGATGGAGAGACCAGTCAGGTTGGCAGGGCCTTCACTTGCTATGCCTTTTTGGCTCCTTGAAAATATGAACAAATCACTGCTGTGTTTTCCTCACCTTCGTTCTGAGACTGAGCTCTAAGGGCCCTCAGCGGTTTCACCCAGGGCTTCAAAGGAAGTGCTCAGGCAGAAGTGGGCTGCAGCCAAGTGTCCTGCTGTGCTTCTCCCCCAGTTATCCTCTCCTGCCCCCCAACCCTGGCATGTGTCAGCCCCGGGAGTGTCCCTGGCTCTGGGCCGGCTGCAGTAAGGTTCACCAGGGAACTCGAGATGGAGCTCTCTCTTGACTCTTCACAAACACTGTCACTTGTCCTCATTTTGAGAGATGACAGAACTGGTGTCATACCTTTTGCAGATGAAAATGCCAACTCACAGGAACCCATTTATTCAGGTCTGCCAAGTGGCAAGTCTGAGTCAACAGACCCTGCCTGCTAGCCCTGAGAACTGACTCCCTTACCTGGTTTCTTCCGGTGGCTCTGGGATGTGCTGGGCCCAAAGGCTCCTGGGTGAGGCCTGAGCCATGAGCACGGGCAGGAGGAGCAGCAGGAGTACAGAGGTGTGGGTGATGCTGACCGACAGTGCCTGGGCAGGTCCCGGCAGAGCCATCAGGGCCCCGGAACCGAACAGGGAAGGGACCACGGGGAATGGCTGAGCTCACTGGAAGCAGAGCCAGTGGCTGGTACCCAGCTTCCGGCCCTGGACTGGGTCATCACCTGCAGACCTACACAGACAGGGAAGAGCCTTGCTTGTATTGGGAACCTTGGGTCTAGCACTGTCCTCTGAGCCTCTCAAAAAGAGGTAATTGAGTGACAGTTGATAAAAATCCACTGACCTGTTTGCAGCTTGAACACAGATGGTCCCTTTATAACAGGGCGAGGTAGGGGCAGATGCCTTTCAGGCCTCAGACATCAGTAAACCTATTTCTCCTTCTTTATAGAGCTGACAGGTCAACTCCACTGATCCACAAAGGCCAACCAAGAGGACCTGGTAATGATTTCATTTGGAACTGGGGTTTTTTCCACACCTGGTCTGTAGGGACAACGTGGGTGTTCCCAGCTGTGGCCAACCCTGTATCAGGGCTCAGCTGTCCTGCACTCAGCAGCCACCCTGCCCCCTCAGAGCTGCCGACGCCTCTCTCCTGGGGTTGCTCTGTCCTGCCCCCTTCTGCTAATGGGGGTGAGCAGGGAGGCCCTGGGAGCCATCTGAACGCCTGTGGAGGAGGTGCCAGCACCTGTCATGCTGACACGTGCACACCTGGGATACTCTGCAAAAGTAGCACAGACTCCCGAGGTTCTCTGGCCTGGCCTGTGAGGAACTTTTCCCTCAACAGATCGGTCTCAGGGCGTTCGCCTTTAAGATATGACCCTGTAGCTTTTATATTGTTCATATCTCATGGTCATGACTGAGGGGAGTATTGTAAAATTGATTTATTTTGGCCCTAAAGCAGTGGATCTCTCTGGAACAGAAGCTCTGGGTCTTCTGTCCAGCACCGTGGTCCTGCAGCCCCCAGCGCCCATGCCCAGGAAGTCGCAGACGGTAAGAGGACGAGTCCCCCTTTTGTGCCTCTGTTCTGGCCAGCACAGCGGGTTATTCTCTCTTCCCCTCGCTGGTGGGCAGGAGGCTTCCTCCCAGATACCTGGTTTGAATCTGGGCAGGACATGACCCCAGAGCTCGCCAGCTGGTGGGTTTGGCCTCCAGCCCAGCCCAGGATAGACCCCACCGCACCCTGAGCTGCATGCTCTCTGCTCTCTGCACTCGGCAGGGACCCCTTAGCTTTCGTCTTCCGGCCTCCTCCTAGAAGAGCCCCTGGCCCCTGAGCTATTCTAACCCGCCCCGTTTTCACATCTGTGGGTTTCCAGGCCTGTGGTTGGGACACTTGGGACCAGTTAAAAGCAAAGTGGTCCCCCTGCTTCAGGGGCCAATACTTCCCTGCCACACTAACCTCTGGCCCCTCCTCTCCTCAGACCAAGCTGAAGCCCAAGCGGGTCAAAGCCCTCTATAACTGCGTGGCTGACAACCCAGATGAGCTGACATTCTCCGAGGGGGATGTGATCATCGTGGATGGGGAGGAGGACCAGGAGTGGTGGGTAAGTCGGGGCTGGTCCTGGCACAGGTCTGGGAGGGGCAGAGCTGACCCTGACCACCTGGCCTGAGAATCGTTCCAGGTGCGGCCCTCTCTGCCCAGCTCTCAGGTCTGCTGGCTGCTCTGCCCGATACTAGCCTCAGATGTCTTACCCATGTGTGCTTGCTTCTGAGTGGGCCTGATTTATCCTGGGGTTGGGGGTCTTTCCTCAGGGGGGGCAGGCCACTTGAGCTGCTGTTTCCAGAGGGCCCTTGAGGGTCTGACAGGAGGGCCCTGAGTTTGAGGCCGTGTTTTGTAGGAGATGCCGTCCTCCCTGAGCTACCTGTTTGGTGGAGTAAGGCATAGTGACCTGGGGCCGGGCTGCCCGGGTGTCAGTCTTAGTCCTGAAAGGAGCTGTGACCTCCAGGTGGGCCTCGTGAGATGAGCATGGCACTTCCCTGTGACCCTGAGAATCCAGACTCAGCACTTGCAGGCTGGGTGACCATGGACAAGCTGTTACGTCACTAAGCATAGCCATCTGCCTGTGAAAGGTCGCCACAGCACTGGCATAGAGATTATGCAGAAGGCCCCTGCTGAGAGGCAGCTGTAATGAAATGAAGTCGGTAGGATTAAGTAACGCAGGAGTGTACACAAAGCATCTGGCAGTGCCTGCCACACAACAGAAATGGCCTGGCTCTGCAGACTGAGCCCAGACTCAAATAGGTCATGTATGTCATGATGATGTGAACAGGACTCATGGAAGTGGCTGTGCTTTACTGAGTGCAAGCTGTGTCAGTCTGTATGCCTAGTGGGCCTCCCACCTGCATGAACTGTAGATACTCTGCCTCTGGGACCCTTGTGAATTGGGTGTTTCACAACACTAACTCTGGCACGGCCGGATTCTGGAGTCTTTCCATGGCCCCCCTTAAAGGATTAACATGTCTGTTGGTCCAGAACTGCCTCCATCAGTCTTGCTACGTGTATCATAGGCAGTAAAGGGGGCCGCTGCTCCCAGTGTCCTAGTTCTGGCAGCCTACTGGGCCGCGGCTCACTGAGCTCCTGCTGTGTGGCCAGCCCTGGTGAGGCAGTGAGCGCCCAGCCTGCACCAACGGGGGTGAGGGCCTGAACTCACTCCCTGTCCAGCTGCCTGCACACCCAGGATCTAAGGCAGATCTGGCTTTCACACTTACGTACAAGCCACCATGAAGGATGGGCCTGCAGCCTGACAGCACGCACAGTCACCTAAACTGTTGATTCAAAAGTTGTGCAAAATACAGAAAGGTGTAAAGAAAAAGGTAAATGCTGCCCATAATCTTAGCCCCCACCACTTACATTTTGGTGATTTTCTTTTAGACTTACCTATGTAACTTACATTGTTGAAATCATACTTGATGCATAATTTATATAATTTACCCAGAGCAAAAATAAATGGATTTACTGAAGTCTTCCATAAATGCTTGACTACATTTAAATAGGGCCAAGTCACATGTTTGCCACTTTCTGTGACTTTGCAGCTCACAAACTTCTGGCACTGTTTCTTCACCCCTTAACAAAAAAAAAAGGCAAGTGGGAGGCAGTGGTCAGCTGGCAGTTCTGCCTGCACCCAAGACACCAGGACCCAGTGGGGAGTGTGCTTCTGTGAAGACACCTGACACACGCTAGCAGGAGTTCCTGGCAGATACAGGGACATACTGTTTTGAAATGTAGTGAAAGAAAAAAGGAAAAAGTTTAGACACTTTACCCAATTAATTCTTTCTCAAAAGAGATTCTTTAGAACATATCTTTTTCCCCCCCTCGAAATGCTATAATGTCCTGCAGAGTTGCCAACATTTAGAATTTTTATAACAACCTAAATTTTTATTTCAGATTGGCCACATTGATGGGGATCCCAGTCGCAAAGGAGCATTTCCCGTATCATTTGTGCACTTTATTGCTGACTAAATTGCTACTGAACAAAAACACATCTTTAAACAGTTATATTCCTGTTTCGTTGTTGGTACCAAAACTCTTACAAGATAACCAGTTTCTTGAACTGTACAGTAGCCCACATTCTATAAGGCCACTGTTCTGTTTTTAAAAATCAAGGCAATTTATATGTATAAATTAATTGTTTTTATAATTTGTGGTTTTCATGAAATACTGCTATACTTTTATTAGGAGAACCTGAATTTCCTAAAAGGTGAACTGAAAAGTTATTTTGATGGCATAATCAAGATCCTGAATGTACAGAATTAGTTGAACGTACAGATAAATGTTTTAGTATTGGAAAGACATCCTGCTTTCCTTGCTCCAGTTCTGGAGTCCGTGATCCTCAGCACAACTGAGTAAACTTACGTTAGAAGTCTGTAACCCATCCCCTGGACTTCCTAGATAAAATGCAATCAGTTCACCTTTAAGGACATTTTTTTAAATGATACATTTAAAGATTTCCTTTTAAATCCACTCAGTGTTTAGTTAAAGCAACTTGAAAACTTACACCTTAGCGTCATACTTGCCAGCCCTAATTTGTGAGGATGCAGCTGTCATTGTATTCTGCGTGTGCTTGTGGCCTGTTGTGAACGATCCTAGTTCACAGAACCCGTTGATGGTGTATTCCAGCATATGGTAATAGTCCGCTCTGTTCCAGGTCATATACAACTGCGTTTTCAGAATTTGGTTAAAAATGGGATGCTGGATTGCAAAACACTTCTTTAAAATAAACTAGTTTATATGCTTTAGGGGTTCTGGGATTTGTGTTCCTGACCCTCCCGCGTCACAGGTAGAGCACAGACCCCGTGTGGACACAGACTTGCTGTTTCCTGTTGAAGTGTACTGCTGCCTTCCCTTTCTAGCTTCTGAGAATGTTTGCTCAGTTTAGTGTCTTGTATTTATATAATATACCAAAAATGGTGGTTACACTGTCTTGAAATCTAATCAGTTCATTGTTCGTGATCGAGCATATTGGAAATCTGTAGGTCCCAGATAATAAAAACTCCCAAACACATCCCAGTTTTACTATTGAAGCCCATCTTATCATTCTTAAACTGAAGCTACTGGGGGTGGGGGGATTAGGTTATATGTAGTAAAATCAAATTCATTAGTTTAATGAACTTGACTGTCATACCTCTATTTAGTAACTGTGAGCCTAAGATTCATAGTAGGAATATGGAATTTGGGCACTCTAGAGAATAAATAGGCATAAAATGCCCACTTGGATTTTTACTAAAAGTAAAGGGATAAATTTAAGTATAGGCTTAGAAAGCGAGGCAACAATGCTTTTATTGCATATGTTACGATGGTACATTTGATTGAAGCAGCCTGTCCTTAGGTAAGACTCTTACAAATGTAGAATTTGTTAGGGTTTTTTTTTTAAGTTGCATTTTATTTTTTGTTGCTATTATAAAAGAAGACAGAACTGGAATGTTTTTTGATGTATGACAATTGGTTTTTGTCTTTTAAAGTTCTGAGTAAAAACATGGTAGATCTGTAATTAAAGGCTTTTTTTAAAGCACTACATCTGTTTTCACTAATTGTTAACTTCTGTTGTTTAAACCTTTCATTTAGTTAATTTTCATAGATTTAAGAAAGTAAACAGATGTATTTTGCACAGTGCACTTCTTATGTCTGTTTTACCACAATCCTCCTGCATCTGCATCTCACAGTCAGCCTTTTGACTGCTTGTGCCAGCTATGTAAGGAATTACAGCTGGTTCTTATCACCAGTCCCAGACTTATCTGTCAGGGTCACTGGTACATAAGGATTTAGGAAATACTTTTCCAGTCTACAATTTGGTGGTGCTATTGTGGAGTAATTAATACTACTCTTGCCAGAGAAGAAATTATATTAACTTCCCTGCTAACATTCTTTCCTAGTTATTTGCTCTTTGCAAATTAAAAAAAAAAAAAAAGCAATGGAGAGAAAGGAAAACATTGTAGATATCTATTTATATTTAAAGTTTACATTTCATTAACTTAGCTACAGGGTTCTGGCATTTTTGCATGCCATTTTACATCAGATCTGACTTCTAGGGATGGACTCAGAATATCTGCACAGACAATTACTATGTGATCTGTCAAGGGGTGGGTAACATAATATGCAGCTTGGAATACTATTTGAGATGTATGATATTCAATTTATTCACCTGATTACTTTGTCTAGTTACAGCGCAACTGTATATATTGTATAACCTAAATCAACTCCTATTTTCATTGTCCTTACTGCAGTGATTTATAATTAGAGCATGTTTAATAAGTTTACTCTTCTTGTTAACTAGTCATTTGACTAGAAAGAAATAAAATACTTTTAAATGGACGAAAGTATTGTTTTTAATGTTTGAAGTCTTTCAAGAGTAATATGTTAAAAGAGTTCTTTTTTTTACTCATGAGCCTAGTGTACAAGAGATTCTTTGTATACTATTGCTTTTAACATGAATAGTAATCTTTAAGGCTCTCTTAACTCTGAGGTAAATAATGTGGTTTACAAGCATGTTATCCTGACAAGACACTTAACAGTTTTGCTTTTTGCATCTTCAGTTAGCAGGGTCACTGTTCCAAACCAGCCTAATCTGGATCCCCAGGCCACCCCCCGCCTGTCCTCAGCACTCAGAGCAGACGGCATTAGTCTCCCTCGGGAAGTTCTCGTGCTCCTTGTCACTGAGTGTACTTCTGTGACACTTAGGTGGTAAGCTTATTTATGTTTAAAAGTGACAGGTGAGATTTCTTTTTTTGTCCCAGAAAGTAGAAAACTTCACTAAGAGTTAGCTCACTGTTAATACACACTTTAATAGAAAAGCAAATGATCAGTGTTTTATACATTGCATTTTCCTCAGAAAATCTACATCAAAGGATAATTTCATATTTCCAAATAGTTCAGCATTGCAGATGGAAAACAGCTGATGTTTCACAAGAAGTGGACTTCCCCTTGAAGGCAGAATTCAAGATTTCTCAGACGTTAATACAGAGTCAAAAGCGGTGGATAAAATTTTGCAGATTGCTTGTGCCTGTTCCTGCATTAAGTGACAAGATACAGTCAGAGAGCCCATAAATCTCTCCCTGGACCTAACCTGACCAGCAGAGGGATAGATCAGACCCTCTTAACACCTCTCCTAGACCTAAATATCTGCAGTTTTGGAAGGCCCAGGACACAGCCTGCCAGGATCAGCACAACACCTCCACCTGGCTCCCTTCCTGTGCATGGGACACGGGAACTCGGCCTTGGGGAAGGGGCATCAGGAGTAAGAAAAGGAGGAGGCCTCTGCCCATACCACCTTTGCTCGCCAGCTTTGTGAAGAGCCCGGCCTCCCGATCCCCACACGCAGGAGTGCTGCTGCTGGCCTAACGAACAGCGCACAACCTGCAGCAGGTCTGGAAGCTAGCAGACCTGACACTCATTGTATTATGCCAGGTATTCGACACATGGTGGATCGCATCTGTTCAGCCTTGGAGAAGACTGTAGTCTCTGGCACTGCCACCTCATTTGATGAATAAGGGACCAACCAAGGCAACAGACCTTACCAGGCTGTTGCACTGATAAACCCACAGGCTGTACTCTTCATTGCTTGCATCTGTGGTCTTCAGAGCCAATAAGCTTTTTCCTGCCCCCAGACCATCATCATAACACACCATCCGGATGATTAAATACAGAGCATGCCTATGCAAAACATCCTGCAGAAGTCAGGAAAAAGAAAGATCGTGACTATTTTCTGTGTTTCTCCACTCTTACAACATTTTCCATGCAGAATGTATTATGAGGCTTTTAACAGAACCTACCCATGGATCTGGCAGAAAATAGTTATATAGGTTTTTCACCCAAAGGGTCATTCTGGTGTGCGTAGTTGCGAGATAGTGTGCCTTCAGGATTATACTTTCCTACTTAAATTCCAGAAAGACAGGAGTAAGATCTAAGTTCACAATCCTGTTCTCTATGCCCAGCTTCCACACTGACAGCTACTCTGAGCTGGCATGGGGTCTGAAGTTGAAAATGCATTAGGGGCCACAGTGGGGTGTTGGCTTGGGCCCTATTACACAGGGAAGCTAAAGGAGCCGTGTTCATTCACCCTAAGAAATTAGTCACTGTTCAGACCATTGCCAGGAAAGTTTACAAACCTGTCTGGGATGGGTAGGAGCAGACCTAACGACAGGTAAGCCCATACCAGCCTCAACTCCTGAATACCTGAAACACATTTTCCCTTAATTATTTACTTACATACTGATCTGATGTTGATACTTTTATACCGTACTTGGAAACGCCCATAATAAATTCTTCCTCCAGAGGAACGAAAGGCAACTTTCCATCTTGCTTTAAAGTGAAAATAAATTACATGATACACATTAAAATTGTTAACCTTCTTAAGTCTGATAGACAATTTTGATATCTGGCCATCTGAAAACCAAACCCTTTAAAGAATGGGGGATACACAATAACCCAGCAAGAATTTCTCTCCAGAGTCCGAAGGAAATTTTTCCCCCATGTTTTTTTACACCCACTAATCTGAGCGAAGTTCAGAGCACTCCCTGCAGACTGCCCTCTCCCGTGGCCTTGGTGTTGACCCTAGTTACAAACTGAGTACTCGTCACAGATCCCAATGAGGGGTAACATGTTTGCATTAAGAAATAAAAGTCTGTTTAGATTTAAGGATACGCAAAGCTTATACTAATGGCAGCAAGTGAAATGGCCAGGAAACAGCCGCAGGCACCATTTTTCTCAGCCATTTCATATCCTGCCCAGCTGAGGATATAACATCCCTCTGCCCCAGGGCTTTGGGCAAGCAAACTGCTTGATGGTTACTCAGCTCTCAAAAAAATCAGTAGCTCGATTTTGAGCTATTCAGAGACAAAGCAGCAGATAGTACCTGGTGGTTTCCTTAGATTATCCAGCTTCATCTCCTAAGTCAGAATACCACCTTACTTGCCTTCTCTAAAATATTTACGATCTAGTCTGCAAGCACTGGATGTTCCAGACTACAAATATTTTTGTGGAACCACTTCCCTACATTAAAAAGGATGGCGGATGGGCCACGCGCCTGACCTGTCGGGCCCTCACGCAGCTACGGTGACTTCTTTCCAGTCACCTCACAGATATAAAGCACTCCAAGAATCAAAAGATGAATAATAAAATAGTAATGCTATTGGTAATAATGGAATTTCAACAAGCCCAAATTCTACAGTGATATGAGAAATTTAGCAGTCCTTATCAGAATGAAAATAACCCTAGTGAAACTTTCGGAGGAGGGGGGAATTACTAGCCGTCTTTCAGTATAACATGTTAGTTTGATTAGTTGTCGCTTGCATGTTGGAATGACCTTGTATTCCAGACTAAAAGCTGGGATACTAATGGCATTAGTCCAGACTGTCAAGAGTTCTCTGTTAAGTGGCAAATCCAACTGGCTGACATCCCTCAGAAGAAACTTCTTATGCTTCCATAAGCATATGAGACATTTATATTTAATGACCCCATTCTCCATGACTTTTAAGAGACCATACATTCTTAAGAGTAACCAACACTCTAAGAATTGGTAAAAGAATCTTCCATTGCAGTAATACCCCTTTGGTAATGACACAAAGACATGTGATTCCATTTTCTAGAAATTCAGGAAGCAGTTCACTAACTATATACAGTGTTCTTTCTGTTTGTCCACTCCACCATTGGCAAGGGGACAGATCTTATAATAGTTAATGCACTACTGTTTGAAGGAAGGAACTATGTCTGTGCTCATGTGCGACTTGGCCTTCACAGCGCTCAGTAAACATTGTAACAGTGAGAAAAGTGTGGCTTCTGGATGAGACAGTAGGAAGACCTGGAAGAGCAAAAGTCTGTCTCTAAAGCCATGAGTTTACTCTGGAAATCTTCTAAAATTGAAGAAAAAAATGTTTTTACCTGGGCAACATCTATATAATTTATCAGGTCTAGTGGCCCTTCAAGACTTTTCCCCTCAGAGAATTTCAGTTTCTCAATGGCACCAACATATTTTATTCGAAATTCTGCACAGGTATCAGAATTATTGTTGCTTTGACCTAAAGGTGAAAAGAAAATTGTAATGATAAGACTTCAAAAGTATCTGCATTATATAAGGATATCCTCAGTCCTTTCCCAAAGCAGACTGTCTCGTCAGATCTTAACCTTTAATAAAAATAAAGATTTTATGATGCAACAGGAAAAAACTTTAAATTTTACCAACTTTTTCCTCAGTGACTGACAATATGCTAAATGTATAAAAACCTCAGTAGGAATTTAAAATGTCAGCTAGATAATTATTGAGTTCCTTTTATCATATATAATGATAGTTAATTTCTTTTTGGTTTCTCCTCCCTCTTTACCATGTTAACTTTCTTTTCTGATTCAGCAGACCTGGTCTACCTCTACCATTCAGTCAGAAAAAAGACATTTTTTTCCATATTGGTGGAATAATGCTAGATAGGAAATCTCTTTTAACAGATGGCAACTGTGTGTGTGTGTGCGTGCGCACATGCACATGCGTACACACTTGCTGTAAAACCAGCCGACACACAAAGTATTTACATTATCTACCAGTTATGGGAGGACTATGTGATTACTTGCAGGTTGTAAGATGCCTACATTTTTGGTATTTTTAAAGCATCTGGAAGCATAGAGATGCTACCATATTCTCTTTTACATCACATGATTCTTCTAAGTCCCCATCACCATCTTTTATAGGCTCACTAGTCTATGATCCTGAAGGGAAAATGGAAGGATTTTAGACAAGAAAATGAACATAGTAAGTATATTTGCCATTAGACACAAGCCTTTAATGGACCTGGGTTAGAAGTCACCTTTTGGTTTCTCAGGAGCTACTAATTTCAGGTGGCTGCATAAATGTTTTCAAGGGTCTGTGACAGATGCTGCACGTAATTACCATGTGCTGCTGATGTTTACAACCTGATACATCTCTTGGTCAGTAGCTCCTTAGTCCTTTTCGTCAGCCAGGCATTTATCCTATACCCACAAGCAAGATAACTCCAATATAATTCATACACTGCCACCGCCTGTTTGCTCTGGGACCCGTCACAAGCCCATGTGCCCTAGCAACCCACCAGGACAGGGGTGTCAGCCACTCCACATTCCCAACCCACATTCCCACCAGATCTTGGACTGTTCCTAAATTCCTGTGAAAATCAGCAAAGGAGAGAGAGAAAACCCCAAATACACAAGAAGTACTGTGCTACCCTGATAAATCAAAATGAACCTCAGTTAAAAGCCTTAATAACCAGCCAGCCTTTTTCCATACCTGAGCTCTTGGTGGAATCTGTATCCAGGCTGGCCACAGTGCTGGACCGTGAAAGCCCCCCAAGGCT